CTGTATCAATCTCTTGTATATTTCTCCTGTATCAATCTCTTGTATATTTCTGCCTATATCAATCTCTTGTGTATTTCTGCCTGTATCAATCTCTTGTATATTTCTGCCTGTATCAATCTCTTGTATATTTCTGCCTGTATCAATCTCTTATATTTCTGCCTGTATCAATCTCTTGTGTATTTCTGCCTGTATCAATCTTGTATATTTCTGCCTGTATCAATCTCTTGTATATTTCTGCCTGTATCAATCTCTTTGTATTTCTGCCTGTATCAATCTCTTGTGTATTTCTGCCTGTATCAATCTCTTGTATATTTCTGCCTGTATCAATCTCTTGTGTATTTCTGCCTGTATCAATCTCTTGTATATTTCTGCCTGTATCAATCTCTTGTATATTTCTGCCTGTATCAATCTCTTGTATATTTCTGCCTGTATCAATCTCTTGTATATTTCTGCCTGTATCAATCTCTTGTGTATTTCTGCCTGTATCAATCTCTTGTATATTTCTGCCTGTATCAATCTCTTGTATATTTCTGCCTGTATCAATCTCTTGTATATTTCTGCCTGTATCAATCTCTTGTGTATTTCTGCCTGTATCAATCTCTTGTGTATTTCTGCCTGTATCAATCTCTTGTATATTTCTGCCTGTATCAATCTCTTGTATATTTCTGCCTGTATCAATCTTCTATATTTCTGCCTGTATCAATCTCTTGTATATTTCTGCCTGTATCAATCTCTTGTATATTTCTGCTGTATCAATCTCTTGTTATTTCTGCCTGTATCTATCTCTTGTATATTTCTGCCTGTATCAATCTCTTCTATATTTCTGCTTGTATCAATCTCTTCTATATTTCTGCTTGTATCAATCTCTTCTATATTTCTGCCTGTATCAATCTCTTGTATATTTCTGCCTGTATCAATCTCTTGTGTATTTCTGCCTGTATCAATCTCTTCTATATTTCTGCCTGTATCAATCTCTTGTATATTTCTGCCTGTATCAATCGCTTCTATATTTCTGCCTGTATCAATCTCTTGTATATTTCTGCCTGTATCAATCTCTTGTATATTTCTGCCTGTATCTATCTCTTGTATATTATTCTGCCTGTATCAATCTCTTCTATATTTCTGCTTGTATCAATCTCTTCATATTTTCTGCTTGTATCAATCTCTTCTATATTTCTGCTTGTATCAATCTCTTGTATATTTCTGCCTGTATCAATCTCTTCTATATTTCTGCCTGTATCAATCTCTTCTATATTTCTGCCTGTATCAATCTCTTGTATATTTCTGCCTGTATCAATCTCTTGTGTATTTCTGCCTGTATCAATCGCTTCTATATTTCTGCCTGTATCAATCTCTTGTATATTTCTGCCTGTATCAATCGCTTCTATATTTCTGCCTGTATCAATCGCTTCTATATTTCTGCCTGTATCAATCTCTTGTATATTTCTGCCTGTATCAATCTCTTGTATATTTCTGCCTGTATCAATCTCTTGTATATTTCTGCCTGTATCAATCGCTTCTATATTTCTGCCTGTATCAATCTCTTGTGTATTTCTGCTTGTATCAATCTCTTGTATATTTCATATTGTATTACCCTAATTTTCTGCGTAGTTGTATCTATATTATATTCTATATACTTCAACCTTAATCACCGACTTATATTTTGCAGTAGATTTATAATCCTTTTTTTTTACTGTATATATCTAGTCACTTTCTTATATCTGTCTTGTATACAATTCCTTGTTTTCCCTTCGTACTTTTTCGTCACTATTTTCCTGTATGTTACTCCTGGTGTTTTTTCTGAATATTTCTGCTCGTGTATATTACTTTCAATATTGTAATTTGCTATACTGTTACCAAAATTTGTTACCTGTTGAATACTTGTTAAGTTTTGGAGGTCATATCTCTGTCCTCCCATTGGTGCTGCCTCATACCAGGCCTCTTGGTTCAAGGTTGATCATTCAGGCTGTTGGTGCTAGTAAGCTGGGAGGAACTTGTGAAGTTCCGATTTTTGTTCTTTGTTCGTCATCTCTTAAGTTCATCAGCTCATCACTTATATTTCCTGCAATCATCGTCAGTGGAAACTTGGTTCCTCTCCCACGTGAACATATCCTTGGAAACTCCTGCAGCTGTTGAACCTTTATTGAAGTAATTGATGATTCCTCCATTGCCTTGCTGAAGTCGGTCAACTTAGGCAGACATCAACAATGTGTGACTCATCCTGTGTGATGGAATATGACGGGAGAACTTAGGTTTCGTTCCCACTATGTAACTGTTCTATAGAATACGGCAGCAGCATATTGTTGATGCATCTTTTTTTGAAGTAGAAGAAATAGCTTCACTCAAAGCGTAGGCACAACTGAAACTATTGTCGCACTACTTGGTTAAGTCGCAACACGCAAGACATCCTCCAGCATAATGGTCGTTATTAATCTCTGGAAACTTTTGACCTTGTCACTGCAATTGCTGTTCTTTCCTTGCTGGCACGCAGGGATGTTCGGGGGCCACGTTTTTCCTTGGATTAAGGCAGATCTTCGTATGAAGCAGACCAGTTACTCTTCTGGGATAAAACTACAATTACGATACTCGAAAATGGCACACCATAAGATGTGACAGATGGTACACAACCTTGTTCACACATCCCTCACAAACCACGAGAGAATAGAGATAATTCAAACTCAAGCAGTATGCTGAAGCACCCCAGTGGATTATGCCAACCTGTCTCAGAACATTTCTGTTCCATGCTCCCAGGAGCAGTTAAATATAACGAGCGCCTGTACAGTGGCCAAAATCTTCCGTCGAGAGACTCGGGCAAAGAAAAGAATTTCCTTGACTAACGGAGACGAGTTCTCTTCACTGACAAGACTTTTCGTATAACCATGTTGATGCCAGTGAAGAGTCACCACCTCCCCGGAGACTGCTGGAAAAAAAAAAACATTGTCCCGCCAGAAGAGTACACTCCTCCACCATTTCAACAGGATCCAACAGTTTTTTTTTATCTTGCATCCCCCAGTGAGAAAATATGGAGCACGGACACCCTACTAAGCCATGTGGAACCACGCATAGCCGAGTCTAAGGTCCCAAGAGTAAAATGTGTGTCACTGATGGCTCAGTGCCTCCACATAAGAGTGCAGCAGCTGGAATACATCATGATGAGACAGTCCTGGGGAGGACAGAGTGGTGCCACTACTCATCACTACAAGCTCCCCTCAAGGAAGGTTCCTTGATGTTGGTGAGGGGCTTTTGATATAGGGAATTGGATCTGTGCTCCAGTTCCCCGAATTAAGCCTGAATGCCTTCCACATCACCCCCCCCCCAGGCGCTGTATAATCCTCCGGGTTTAGCGCTTCCCCTTGATTATAATAATAATAATAATAATAATAATAATAATAATAAATAATAATAATAATCACCACAAGCTGAGTTAGTCTAGCATGTACTAACTCGTGCTTTACAGAAGAATAAACAGAACGCTGTTTTTTCATACAGATTCCACAGCTGCTCTCCAGCTACTCCTACATACTCAGCAGCAGTACATCTTATATGTACAGTACATGTACAGGGAAGCAAAACCACACAATACTACTGGACACCAAACCACATCAGTAGCCAGGGAAACTAATCTGCAGATAAAGCTGCCAAATTAGCCAAGAGGGATGATCATGTACGTGTCCCTATAGCGGTTGAAAGGCAACAAGAAGAGAGACTCAGTCACAAACAGAGATCAGAGTTGGTTGTTATAACCTGCTTTACAGTGCCAACCTCCACCTGCTACCAAGGATCTTACCTTTTACCAGACACAGCTATTCATTGGCTGCACCTTGGTTCTGCTCAAAGTAAATAGTAGAGAACACGCCAGAACACCATTAACACTGCCATCACACTGCTACACATCATTAATACCATACCTACTGGACTGTCAGACAACATTCCCACTACAAAGGAGCGTGTTACTTCCATAGCAACTATATCAGGAACCTGTCGAAATAAGCTTGATTCTCATGACTCGAGCAACATGCTCATTTCAGAAGTGAGTATAGATACGTGAAAATTAAAGAAAGGAATTAATGTGCAAGTCTGCACATCAGAGGTGGACGAATCTTAATCTTCAGTTGGAGGAGCCGTGGATATTGAGGCGGTGGCTGTCTCGTTTGATGATTTCAACTGTTCTCTACAAAATGAGTTTTTTTGCATAGTCTTCCTCCTCCCTGTGACGTATTTACTCTCGCATCTATATGTATTGTAGTTTTGTACCTGACTCAGTCTGAAACATCCCTCGTACGTGTTTCTGTGAAAGCTTCAAACATTCCATTTGTTTCTGTAAGAAGCCCACTCGTTTGCTTAATTTTGATACGTATTTTTTTTAATGGACCCCTCAAGGAAGGTTCCTTGATGTTGGTGAGGGGCTCTTGATTTAGGGAATTGGATCTGTGCTCCAGTTCCCCAAATTAAGCCTGAATGCCTTCCACATCACCCCCAGGCGCTGCATAATCCTCCGGGTTTAGCGCTTCCCCCTTGATTGTAATAATAATAATGATACGTATTTTTTTTAATGGAGAAATTTACTATTTGGGTTGTTTGGGTTACCAGACATTTTTATTACGGGTTACAAGTACTTGTGGTAGTTTGACACGAAAACAGTGATCAACTAAATATAAAGAATGCCGCGAGCATTATGATCGCTTTTGAAAACCAGATATATCACTATGTTATTGTTGAAAATAACGTAGTTGTGATGACAAAATTGTAATAACGTGTACTCCTGGTGGCCATTCTAAGGCTTCCTAGAGCTTCATGTATCCACATACTCCGGCGCTGCCTGCCACGGGATGGGTCTGGGAGCCACAATAACTAGCCACTTCAGCGCCAATATTCACATCTACTTGAAAATGAAGCTTGTTTATTGTCCTCTGCATGAGGATCGCGAGAACTTCACCATGTGTATATCTAATCCCATGTACGTTTTACCACGTGTGTACTAACGTGTGTGCTCGCTGCAGGAGCTGCGGGAGAGCTTCAACTATGGCCTCTTCTGCCCGCCCCAGAACGGTCGCGCTGGCAAGTTCCTCGATGAAGAGCGACCTCTGGGAGACTATCCTCTTCCCAGCCCCATCGGCTATCTCGAGGTCAGTACTTCCACCTTGTGCCTCCCCTTATCTCTACCCTGTTCTCTCTAACACTTCACCCTTTCTACTCACACTCTCTACTAGCCATTATCTCTACTTCCTCTACTTTTTTTTTTCCTTTCTCCATTGTAATGTGGAAGGAGAATATATGTTAATTCACTTTTTCTCGGAGGTCTTATTTACTATTCTTTAATTATATCAAAACTTTTCCCTATCGCAAATTGCTTCTTCGTCAACATCAGTGCATGCATATAAAGTTATAATACACTGCAACAATAACCACAAACAATATTACAGGAATGAGAGAGGAGATATTTACGGTGGGGAAGGAGGGGGGCAGTAAGGAAGAAGGTATGGTCTGACTGGCACCTGGGTCTGACTGGCACCTGGGTCTGACTGGCACCTGGTGCCAACAGGTATGAAAGTTTGCAGAAAAAGTTTACTCTGATGACATTTCAGTCAATGTTGAGCTTATCAAGTACTCATTATAACAGACTTGGTCTTCAAGTACAAGCTTTACCAGGGAAGAAGGCAGTCACCTCACAGTGCTCAGGATAGTTCACAGGACTTAACCTAGCTTGTCCACCATACCGGCGCTTATACCATTAATTAGCCTATCTCAGAAACTTGTATTATTTCATTGTTCAGACTGGAACCCATTAGTTGGTGTTACCAACCCGTTGTCTGAGCCCACTGCACCATGGTGGGTGATGGGCATGTTGGTGATGGATACTGTAGAGGTATTTAGAAAAACCAATTACCCAATTTAAGTTTTGAAAGATGGGACTTAGTGACTGCAGTTTGTAAGTCTGCAGATATGATTCAGTGAATCACCGTTGAATCATTCTTTTTTATTCTAGGCACACTCCTAGGAAGTGAGTGATAGCAAGATAAAAAAAATACTAGCTTGTGGAAAACGGCTGATTTATTGAGAAAACCCAAATGAATGGAAAACTCGTTGCTAAACCTAGGTAAAAAATTGCATTGATCCTTTTCCGAAGCATTTATGTGCATCAATGTCTGCACTATCTAAGCCCCTTGTAAAATTCACGACGTGACACACCAGGCAACCCCAGCTCATCCGTCTGCAATCCTGTCCACCCACCTGCATTCCTATCCACCACCTGAATCTTTGGCTCACAACTTAAAGGAGTAGGGTTTGAACCCTGGGTAGGATGTATGGGAAAGTCTCATTATTGTTCCTATTCACCTAGGTATCTAGTAAGTTTATTTAGGCACAGATACATAAGTACAATTATCATACATAGTGTAAATTACCTAGGATAACCCAAGAGAGGTTAGAGTGGCTTATTTTCACTGGGGTTGCATCATGGATGGGGAGACTGCAGGAGGTATCTGGTGAAGTCTGAATTTTCAAGGCACCAACATCAATTATCTGAGCAGTTGGTTCAGTGACTTGGTAAAACATAACTTAGTTATCCCACAACATAATTTGGATTTATTATGGATTAGACTAGAGCTTTCTGAACAATGTTTTTAAATTATATATGAAAATTCTTTGTAGGAAAGCACTGAGGACTTGGGAATGTTTGTAATTTACACTGATACGGGTACTTGTGTATCTGTACCTAAATAAACTTACCCTTAGTATTTGTTAAGGGCCACAGTAAACATTATCCACACTGATTGGCACTTTCGGTATATTCTGTTATTAAACCATTAATAATCCAGAGAAAATAGTGTTCATCCAATAAATGTTGAGTTGTCTGCAACTGTTGCTTGTGCTAGCTACTTACTGCTAAAACTGGACATCATGATCTGACGCGGCTCTCACTTCAAGACGACATCTGATACATTACACGGTATCAGACGAAGAAAGACTCAAATAACTAAAGTTAGCAAGTTATCGTAGCAACAGTTTGAGACTGGTTAAATATTGTATAACCAGATAATACCATGAGTTATCCAACACCTTAATTTAGGTTAAGTCAGTACCTCCTGGTAGCTCACTAAATTTGTGTGTATGGGAGAACTCGCTACCGGTAGGAGAACATTAGAGACTTTGGAACATCTGAGATTGCTGGTGTTCCTTTCTTACCAACATATTTGAATAAACTGCTCTGATATTTTAAGCACAAAAAATTTTATTTCAAGAAGCCATTAGTCCCTGTAAATACTGTACCTTAAACAATGGTATTGTTACAAATCCTTGTCTGATACACTAACCTTTTGTCTCACTCTTACAAGGTACTATAATTCTCAGCAATGTACGTATTCCATATTTTTGCACCATATCACATGCTTTTAAATTCATTGAGAGATGTGCCTTGATTCAAAGACAAAAACTGCACCTTTCTTATCTGATTATTGCTTTTAGTGCTTAATATACAAAGTCATGCTTCCATCCCTTTCTAGAACCTTTCATATATTAACTACACTCACATTGATGTTATAATTAACATACTTAATCCTCTCTAATTCTTACTCTTGTTTGTTACAAAGGAATCATATATGTTCTCTACCAGTTTTGAGACAAAATTATCTTTTGTCATAATCACCATCCATTCCAGTACTGCCCACTTGTTGTTTATCATAATCCTATCCATTCCTCCTGCTTTTCTCCACCTTAAGCTTTCTTACTGCTTTATTCATTTACTTAATATTCCTGGTTATTCATTCATTCTAATAATTTCATTCTTCCTTGTCTCGTGCATGAGGCCTGGCCTCAGACCGGGCCACGGGGCGTTGACCCCCGAAACCCTCTCCAGGTAAACTCCAGGTAAACCCGCATTCCTATACACCTGTCTGCATTCCTGTCCACCCACCTGCATTCCTATCCACCACCTGCATTCCTATACACCCGTCTTCATTCCTGTCCACCCACCTGCATTCCTACCTACCCCCTACACACTTACCTCAGATAAGATAATTCGTTGCTACTGTAGTAACACTCACGTACACTAAGGTACTTGTACGTTCTTGATGTGATTGTGGCTAGCAGCGGCATAGCTGTGACCATTTGCCACAGTAACTCTACTCTTACAGTCCATCCTAAAGAGTTGTGATTGAGTAAATAAGTTGCGGAAAGAGTAGGTGTCTGACAGACCCGCTGGTACAGAACTGATAAAATCATCAAATGATATAACAGCGTTGCTTTGAGTGAGAGTCAAGACCAAGGATCTGGTAATTATCTTCGTATACAACCCCCAGCAACAACTGCACAGGAACTCGCTAAACAAAGATGGAAGATAAACCTTTAAAAATGTGGAGAATCCTACACGCAGTATTAGTATTGAGAATTCAACCTCCAAATTTAAAACGAATAATGAGACTGCGGTATTCTACCAGAAGTAATACTGGGGTATACTGTAACCCAACAAGTGTATACCAGGTAACTGATTGTGAAGTTTACATTGAACCAAGAGACAATAGATGGTATTAGTAATACTAAATATGCTAGATTTCATCTTCACAAATCATGAATTGATAATTAAATACTTAATAAAATCTGACTAAGACCCGGGTCAGGAAACATTTGTCCTGTTTCCTGACGAACCTTACCTAACCTAACCTAATAAAACAGTAGTAACAGACAAAACGAAGTTGTTTGAGTAGAGTACAGTAATAAGTACCACCAAGTACAGTAATAAGTACCACCAAGTACAGTAATAAGTACCACCAAGTACAGTAATAAGTACCACCAAGTACAGTAATAAGTACCACCAAGTACAGTAATAAGTACCACCAAGTACAGTAATAAGTACCACCAAGTACAGTTATAAGTACCACCAAGTACAGTTATAAGTACCACCAAGTACAGTAATAAGTACCACCAAGTACAGTAATAAGTGTCACCAAGTACAGTAATAAGTGTCACCAAGTACAGTAATAAGTGTCACCAAGTACAGTAATAAGTGCCACCAAGTACAGTATTAAGTGCCCCAAGTACAGTAATAAGTGCCACCAAGTACAGTAATAAGTGCCACCAAGTACAGTAATAAGTGCCACCAAGTACAGTAATAAGTGCCACCAAGTACAGTAATAAGTGCCACCAAGTACAGTATTAAGTGCCACCAAGTACAGTATTAAGTGCCACCAAGTACAGTATTAAGTGCCACCAAGTACAGTAATAAGTACCACCAAGTACAGTAATAAGTACCACCAAGTACAGTAATAAGTACCACCAAGTACAGTAATAAGTGCCACCAAGTACAGTAATAAGTGCCACCAAGTACAGTAATAAGTGCCACCAAGCACAGTAACAAGTACCACCAAGCACAGTAACAAGTACCACCAAGCACAGTAACAAGTACCACCAAGCACAGTACCAAGTACCACCAAGCACAGTACCAAGTACCACCAAGCACAGTAACAAGTACCACCAAGTACAGTAACAAGTACCACCAAGCACAGTAACAAGTACCACCAAGTACAGTAACAAGTACCACCAAGCACAGTAACAAGTACCACCAAGCACAGTAACAAGTACCACCAAGTACAGTAACCCAAGTACCACCAAGTACAGTAACAAGTACCACCAAGCACAGTAACAAGTACCACCAAGTACAGTACCAAGTACCACCAAGTACAGTAACAAGTACCACCAAGTACAGTAACAAGTACCACCAAGCACAGTAACAAGTACCACCAAGTACAGTAACAAGTACATTACCAAGTACCACCAAGCACAGTAACAAGTACCACCAAGTACAGTAACAAGTACGACATAGCAGACATAGATAAGAACATTAGCCACAACTTCGTATTAAACTTTGTGGATAATACCACAATATAAAAAAGTCTCCTCAGAAAAAAAATTAGCCAAATATCAACAGACTTTTCCAATGGAGACATGAAAATAACAGTGTATTCACTGGTGACTAATTATAGCTGCTTGTGTGTGTGAAGAATAAAGACGTTAGTGTGCACAGAATACATAAACTCCATCTCGTGGAACATAACTTTGGTACAAGTCTTTAAAACATAGCACAAATAATGTCATTTGATGTATCATACATGGAGTACAATAAAACAAATTCAACTAACCTCAAAAAAAGTGATTAAGACGCATTTGCGACAGTTCTCATTGTCCTTCGTGTCACTTTTTTTTGGGGTATGTTAAAAATGTTATAAAATGCTTGAACAAGTTGATTAAGAACTGTGCACGTTTGCACATGTCTTAATCATCAACTTGTTAGTATTTTACACCATTTTCAACATACACAAAAAAAGTGACACGAAGGACAATGATAACTTTCAGTAAGAGGAACTTGCGCTTACGATGACACTATTCAAATCGCCTGTGCGTTCATATCTACTATACTGCTGTGTGTTTGTAGCTCAGTCAAGGCAGGAGAGATATCAAAGTTGGGAAATGTACAAATATCGTTTACTGCTCGCATAAAGGCGATAAAGCATGTAAACTACTGGGAATGCCCCAAGGAATGGGCTTGAATAGGAGTGTGAGAAAAGACAAAAGATGCCTGATGATATACTAGAGCGCCAAGTCCCAAATCTACACACTTCCATAGCTTACTGGAAGGAAGGAAGCGCACAATAAATCTAGTGGAAGTAGGACTGCTGTGGGAACAATATCCATGGCCCAGGACCCTTAATTTGTTGCCAGTAAATATTAGCTATATTGCCAGAACAAATATAGAAGTCTTCAAGAGGAACATAGATAGCTTGCCCGAATGTTGTGCACAATCTCTGCGCCTTCAGATTATTGTATGATTTTTTTGTGCAGTAATTTTGAAGTAGACTTGAACATCAACAGGGCTGTGATGGCTATGTGGGTCAGCGAACAACTGGCAGCAACAGCCTTTTTGAACAAGCACTTAACAAGGACTCTTGGCCAAAGGCCAGTCTGGTAGGGTAAAAGCCCTCGAAATCGGTCACAGGTATATCTGATATACAAACATGTGGAGACAGACAAAAGCTGGTGTATCAAGCGTGCTTTATAGTAACCATCTGTCTGGGTGACTTCTTGGGCTTGCATGCGTAGATATATCCTTGAGAAGTAGCTGTCTGTGTAGGCCCTACTGACTAGCAACTATTATACAGGGACCAGGATGGTGCAAGTGTTTTATTATATTCACGAGGAAGTGCTAAACCCATAAGGACCAAGAAAATGAAAAATTAAAGGTTATTATGTTCGATTTTGGGAAGGGGATGGTAATTCCAAATCTTTAAATCAAGAGCCCTTCAACATCAGGGCACCCTGATGAAGGGACACACAAGTTTAGCCCTTCTCTTTTTATAAGAATTTATTCGGACCGTATTCTGTTGATTGAGGTCAGTTGAAGATAGAGCACACTTCTGTCACTAGTGGTCTCACACTCTGGGAATCTTCCCGCTATGCAACTAGCTGTGCTGGGACCTGTGAACCTCAATAGTCTAAGCTTGGGAACTGTTTTTTCCCAAGCTTAACTGTTTAGATTTATATCTGTTTTTAGAGGGGGAGTTTGCAGAGGCCTCAGATATTTTAAGGGAATCTTTATAGTGGGATTTGGTGCAGTATATTGACTTCTGAACCTTTTATGAATATTTACATTGATCATTTTACTTGATATGGGGATGTGTAGGTGGTTTTAAATTGAAGTGATTTTTAAATGGTGTGCAATTGCAGTTTGGCTTGTGTAATCTTTTAATGGACAGACTTGTGAATGGCCAATAGATCCCAGTGCTCTTCACAACTCTCATAACATTCGACCTCCATAAACTGAAATAGGTAAGTGCAAATATCTGGTAGGTAATATCTCTCGTATGCAACAGAATAACAGCTCTGCGTTTTCTCTCTTGTACTTTTCTCTTTCTCATTTCCCCTTCTCTTTCTTCTGTCTCCCCTACCTCACCCACTCATGTTACATGTATAAGCACACGCATAGTACTAATTGAAGTTGTTGTGCCGTAGCTGAAGTACAAGCGTCGAGTGTACAAGATGCTGCACCTGGAGGAGAAGGCTCTGAGGGCCCTGCACACCCGTGCCAACCTCCGCCGCTTCCTCGACTACGTCAAGGAAAACAACGTCGAGAAAGTCAGCAAGATGTGTGCCAAGGGACTTGACCCCAACTTCCACTGTCAGGACACTGGAGGTGAGTGTGGGTACTTTAGCAGTGAGCTGCTACTCTATTGTATATGATAGTTACATTGCGGGAACACCCACAGTGTGTTGCTACACTGTGATAGTCTATATGATAGTTCCATAGCGGGATTAAAAGATAGGTTTGCTGTCATATTCAGTCAGTGTGGTTGTCATACCTTCTGGGGCCTGCCTAAGGCCCCAGAAGGTAGGTCAACCCTTCAGACTGGTCACAGGTGTACACACACCTCACGGAAGATTACCCGAGCTTTTCTTTCTGTAACATAACCTATCCAATTTACTCTGTTCTGAGACAGAGTCGTGGGAGTTGTTGATTCCTCTTTTTCCTAATTCGTAGTAAAGTTATAAATTGGTACACATTACTGGCAAGTTATCATTTGGATTCTGGGTGATTGTGTTTAATAATGAACGTCCACACCCCAACACAAAACGTGCGCGCGCGCGCGCACACACACACACACACACAACACACACACACACAGTATGAAAACGACATAGCATCGAAAGTCAAATCTGACCCGAAACTGCTGTATAGCCACATTAGGAGGAAGACAACAGTCAAGGACCAGGTGATAAGGCTGAGGAAAGAAGGTGGAGAACTCACAAGAAACGATCAAGAGGTATGTGAGGAGCTAAACAAGAGATTTAAGGAAGTATTTACAGTCGAGACAGGAAGGACTCTGGGGGGACAGACCAGACGGGGACACCAGCAAGGAATACACCAACAAGTGTTGGACGACATACATACAGATGAGGAGGAGGTGAAGAAACTGCTAAGGGACATCGATACCTCAAAGGCAATGGGACCAGACATCTCCCCGTGGGTCCTTAGAGAGGGAGCAGATATATTGTGCGTGCCACTTACCACAATCTTCAACACATCCCTGGAAACTGGGCAACTACCTGAGGTATGGAAGACGGCAAATGTAGTTCCCATTTTTAAAAAAGGAGACAGAAAAGAGGCACTAAACTATAGACCTGTGTCATTGACGTGTATAGTATGCAAAATTATGGAGAAGATTATCAGGAGGAGAGTGGTGGAGCACCTGGAACGGAACAGGAGTATAAATGCCAACCAGCACGGATTCACGGAAGGCAAATCCTGTGTCACAATCCTTCTGGAGTTTTATGATAAAATAACAGAAGTAAGACAAGAGAGAGAGGGGTGGGTTGATTGCATCTTCTTGGACTGCAAGAAGGCCTTTGACACAGTTCCTCACAAGAGATTAGTGCAGAAGCTAGAGCACCAGGCGCATATAACAGGAAGGGCACTGCAATGGATCAGAGACTACCTGACAGGGAGGCAACAACGAGTCATGGTACGTAATGATGTATCACAGTGGGCACCTGTGACGAGCGGGGTCCCACAGGGGTCGGTCCTAGGACCAGTGCTATTTTTGGTATATGTGAACGACATGACGGAAGGGTTAGACTCAGAAGTGTCCCTGTTTGCAGATGATGTGAAGTTAATGAGGAGAATTAAATCTGATGAGGACCAGGCAGGACTTCAAAGAGACCTGGACAGACTGGACACCTGGTCCAGCAAATGGCTTCTCGAATTTAATCCTGCCAAATGCAAAGTCATGAAGATGGGGAGGGGCACAGAAGACCACAGACAGAGTATAGGCTAGGTGGCCAAAGACTGCAAACCTCACTCAAGGAGAAAGATCTTGGGTGAGTATAACACCGAGCATGTCTCCGGAAGCACACATCAATCAGATAACTGCTGCAGCATATGGGCGCCTGGCAAACCTGAGAACAGCATTCCGATACCTTAGTAAGGAATCATTCAAGACACTGTACACCGTGTATGTCAGGCCCATACTGGAGTATGCAGCACCTGTTTGGAACCCGCACTTGATAAAGCACGTCAAGAAACTAGAGAAAGTACAAAGGTTTGCGACAAGGTTAGTTCCAGAGCTAAGGGGAATGTCCTATGAGGAAAGATTAAGGGAAATCGGCCTGACCACACTGGAGGACAGGAGGGTCAGGGGAGACATGATAACGACATATAAAATACTGCGTGGAATAGACAAGGTGGACAAAGACAGGATGTTCCAGGGAGGGGACACAGAAACAAGAGGCCACAATTGGAAGTTGAAGACACAAATGAGTCAGAGAGATAGTAGGAAGTATTTCTTCAGTCATAGAGTTGTAAGGCAGTGGAATAGCCTAGAAAATGACGTAGTGGAGGCAGGAACCATACACAGTTTTAAGACGAGGTTTGATAAAGCTCATGGAGCGGGGAGAGAGAGGGCCTAGTAGCAACCGGTGAAGAGGCGGGGCCAGGAGCTAGGACTCGACCCCTGCAACCACAAATAGGTGAGTACAAATAGGTGAGTACACACACACCTACACACACACACACACACCTACACACACACACACCTACACACACACACACCTCACACACACACACACACCTACACACACACACACACACCTACACACACACACACACACACACACACCTACACACACACACACACCTACACACACACACACACCTACACACACACACACACCTACACACACACACACCTACACACACACACACACCTACACACAACACACACACACACACACACACACACACACACACACACACACACACACACACACACACACACACACACACACACACACACACACACACACAGATAACAGTAATCTTGTGATTACTTTCTTAGAACTTTGAGTGTTGATATGATAAGGACTCCTGAGGGATGCTGTTGAGTTAGCAAGTAAACAAGTTAGCTTCTATTTAGGTTTTACACGTATGTAAATATTGGGTCATCTTAAAACTAACTCTGTACAGCTTACTTAAAATGAGAACAAAATATGTTAGTTTTATCAAGTATTTCTTGCTGCTCTTCACACAAGATGGTGAAATCCCAGAAACTGTAACTTGAGATCACAAGGAAAAAATAGTCACTAGACACGTGGTTATTGAACTAGTAGCTGACGAAAACCAAATTAGTGCCCTGTTGACTACCTCTTGATAGGATTTTTTTTTGGGGGGGGGATCAGAATCCCCCTTCCCCACCCTACTGCTTGTCCCCAGGCCTAGCCTGCTTGCTAGCCTCATAATTCAGGTCATTGATGCTAGAAGCACACAGCTGTGTAAGGTAACCTTTAGTAAATACTTATACACATGGCAAATTATGTAATATTTTTCATTTCCTCTGCCAGAGACGCCGCTTTCTCTTGGTGCTCGGATCAAGAAGCCATCAAGGATGGTGGTGTCTATTGTTAATGGCGGAGCACTGCTGGACTACCGCACCAGGGACGGTGTCACAGCTATGCACAGGGCCGTCCAGGCCAACAACTTCGAGGCTGTCAAGACCTTGCTAGGTGAGTGTGCTAACTGTTTAGCTCCTAGGTGAATGTGCTCAGTAGTTCTCTCCAGGTGAATGTGCTCGGTAGTTCCCTCCGGGCGAAGGTGCTCGGTAGTTCCCTCCGAGCGAAGGTGCTCGGTAGTTCCCTCCGGGTGAAGGTGCTCGGTAGTTCCCTCCGGGTGAAGGTGCTCGGTAGTTCCCTCCGGGTGAAGGTGCTCGGTAGTTCCCTCCGGGTGAAGGTGCTCGGTAGTTCCCTCCGGGTGAAGGTGCTCGGTAGTTCCCTCCGGGTGAAGGTGCTCGGTAGTTCCCTCCGGGTGAAGGTGCTCGGTAGTTCCCTCCGGGTGAAGGCGCTCGGTAGCTCCCTCCGGGTGAAGGTGCTCGGTAGCTCCCTCTGGGTGAAGGTGCTCGGTAGCTCCCTCTGGGTGAAGGTGCTCGGTAGCTCCCTCTGGGTGAAGGTGCTCGGTAGCTCCGTCCGGGTGAAGGTGCTCGGTAGTTCTCTCCGGGTGAAGGTGCTCGGTAGTTCCCTCCGGGTGAAGGTGCTTGGTAGTTCTCTCCGGGTGAAGGTGCTCGGTAATTCCCTCCGGGTGAACGTGCTCGGTAGTTCCCGCCGGGTGAACGTGCTCGGTAGTTCCCGCTGGGTGAGTGTACCAGCTGTGAAGACTGTTCAGTGTTCAATCCCTTTTAATGATTGTGTTGAATCTGTGCAAATTGGTGGTTGGTATGTATTGGAAGAGATTCAGGTGATTCAGGTTGATTGTGTTTAAAGCCTCTTGACTACATGAGGGAGGGGGGTCTATGAAGCTACATGTAGCATGTTCATCACTGAAGAATATTTTATTCCTGAAAATAAGGATGAAAGTAATCTTTCAATATATATGCAGTAAAATTCATTAATATGCACACCCTCAAATATGCCTTTAGTTTTAGTTTAATATCTTTATTATGCACTTCATACCCATCCTGTGGGTGGTAGTCAAAATATTAGAGGTACATAATGGGTCCAGGGACTGTACCTCAACATTACAGAGGTACATAATGGGTCCAGGGACTGTACCTCAACATTACAGAGGTACATAATGGGTCCAGGGACTGTACCTCAACATTACAGAGGTACATAATGGGTCCAGGGACTGGACCCCAAAGTTTTGATAGCTGAACAAGTTACGAATTTGTCAGACTATTTACCTGGCAGATTCGAGAAGTGCTGGGGGTAAACTTTTATATGGAAGACATTGTCTCTTGCCATACTTCCAAAGACAAAGAATTAGCTAAATTATGTTGATTTTCCCATACTTTAATGACTGGCCTGGAAACTCGCTAGACTTGAATGGAATAGAGAACATCTGGAAAATTTAGTGTAAGCTTGGTGGCATGGACATGGTCTTTAACCCCAGAATCACAAAGTGCCATTAAGCAGATGTCATAGGGTATTGAGTTTTCTATCCTCCACAAGTTAGCCATACCAGTGCCTTAGAATGCATCAAGAAGAACATTAATCCTGCAAAATACTATCCTAAGTGAGGAGCACATACATCAGCATTATATATTGCATTTAAAACAATAGGTTATAATGAGGAGTCTCGTTTTCTGTGATCTGTTTCTGCATGATCATATTTATGATGCCTAACATACACCACTAGGTGTGAATATCCCTGAAGGGAATAAAAACTCGCTAAGATTTTTCATAACTTGTATGAATTCGTTAATGTATAGCAACAGATGGTTGCTCTGGTAAGATATTCCCTCCCCCTGCCAAGAAAGATCCCTCAAGCTCCATGGAATATTTTAGTAATATAATACTGTAATAATAAGAATTGGGTCACAGAAAGAAAGAGTTGCCCTAGTTTTATTTATTCGATCATTTTTAAGTTTTTCTTAGTCTCTCAAAAGATGTATAGATGAAAACAAGCAGACTTACATGAATGCACCCGGATAATTCTCTCCTCCTAATTTTCACTGGTATTTTTGTGTATTTGTTGTGATGGTTTTATAGCAATTTCTTCATAAAGTGAACATTCCAGTAGATTGAGAGCCCTGAACCAGCTCTCTTGAAAACATAAAATGAGGGGAGATATCAAGGTGCCAAAGTGAAAAGCAAGTATAAATCAAGGGGCTATTAATAAAATGCTAAGGATATCTAACCAAGAAAGAATTAATGATGGTGAATTGAAGTTTGATACATTAAAATTTAGAAGTGATGAGATATAGTAAAGTCCTGTTTCAGCAACAGTTGTAGAAGAATGGAAAAAATTGCCAGGTATAGCATCATTCAAGCTAATAACTTCAAGTAGGTAAACAAAAGTATTATACAAGAATGTTTTTGTGAGAGTAGACCTAATGCAGTTCTCCTTTATTAGTTAAGAGTGAGTCTAAGATGCTGCCTTGAGGAACCCCAGTGGTTTGTTGATAAAATAGAAGAAAATATATTGTTTTATGGAGTATAGTTTTACCAACGCTCTTATATGGGTGTGAAGCATGGGTGATGAATGTTACAGCGAGGAGAAGGCTGGAGGCACTGGAGATGTCATGTCTGAGGGCAATGTGTGGTGTGAATATAATGCAGAGAATTCATAGTTTGGAAGTTAGGAGGAGGTGCGGGATTACCAAAACTGTTGTCCAGAGGGCTGAGGAAGGGTTGTTGAGGTGGTTCGGGCATGTAGAGAGAATGGAGCAAAACAGAATGACTTCAAGAGTATAACAATCTGTAGTGGAAGGAAGGCGGGGTAGGGGTCAGCCTAGGAAAGGTTGGAGGGAGGGGGTAAAGGAGGTTTTGTGTGCGAGGGGCTTGGACTTCCAGCGGGCATGCGTGAGCGTGTTTGATAGGAGTGAATGGAGACAAATGGTTTTTAATACCTGACGTGCTGTTGGAGTGTGAGCAAAGTAACATTTATGAAGGGATTCAGAAAAACCGGCAGGCTGGACTTGAGTCCTGGAGATGGGAAGTACAGTGCCTGCACTCTGAAGGAGGGGTGTTAATTGCAGTTTAAAAACTGTAGTGTAAAGCACCCTTCTGGCAAGACAGTGATGGAGTGAATGATGGTGAAAGTTTTTCTTTTTCGGGCCACCCTGCCTTGGTGGGAATTGGCCAGTGTGCTAATAAAAAAAAAACATGTATATTGGTGTCAGGTAGACTCATTATGACAAGATTTGATGTACAGTAGACCATTGTTTAACATGGTTAATGTTCCTGAAAATGCTGTTAGTCAAAACTGTGTTAGACAGACTGAAGAACTTGTGGGAAAAATAGGGTTACATTTCTGGGAGCCCCCAAAAAGCCAAACAGCTTTCTTTTAGACCTATAGATCTTACAAAATAAAAGTGAATATGTAATTGTAGTGCATTGTCGTGATATATTACTACAATGCACCTCAGCCCAATAGGGCACCACCACCATCCATATCCATTCTCTTCACAATCAATCAATCTCTATCTCACTCACTCTCTCTCTCTCTCTCTCTCTCTCACACACACACACACACACACACACACACACACACACACACACACACACACACACACACACACACTTTAAAATAGGAGTACATGTATTTCCTATTTTAAATTTTGTTTGTGTGTGTGTGTGTGTGTGTGAGTGAGATAGAGATTGATTGATTGATTGATTGTAAAGAGAGTGGATATGGATGGTGTTGCCCTATTGGGCTGAGGTGGATTGGGCTGAGGTGGATGGTTGTCGGCAGAAGTGAATGGTAGAGGTTCTGGTACTGAAGTCGATGGTTGTATTGGAGTGTGCATAAATTCTGTAATGGATCTATGGGCTCTTTTACCCTGCAGTACATTATAGTACAGCTGACGTTATGGCATCATCAGCTGGTGTAGACCCTGTTTCAAAGCACTGCTTCTAAATTTGTTATTGTATAATTATTCTATTACTATCATTAAATAATATTTACCTATGATATTTATTACAGAATAATATTAGGTATAACATAAATAACGTAGAAGCCTGATAGAGGCATAAATTAATAAACTGACATTATATAGAGAGGTATTGAAGGGTGGGCAGGGCTATGAGAGGGAGAAGGCACGAGCAATCTCTGTTACTCATAGACCACCATGGCGTGTGGAGGTGTGAGCTCATGGCACTGTAAAATATTGTATAATAATACTACTGTACGTATTAGGTAGTAGGTTGGTAGACAGCAACCGCCCAGGGAGGTACTACCGTCCTGCCAAGTGAGTGTAAAACAAAAGCCTGTAATTGTTTTACATGATGGTAGGATTGCTGGTGTCCATTTTTGTCTCATGAACATGCAAGGTTTCAGGTATGTCTTGCTACTTCTACTTACACTTAGGTCACACTACACATACATACCCCTCTGGGTTTTCTTCTAGTTTCTTTATAGTTCTTGTTCTTGTATATTTCCTCTTATCTCCATGGGAAAGTGGAAAAGAATTCTTCCTCCGTAAGCCATGCGTGTTGTAAGAGGTGACTAAAATGCCGGGAGCAAGGAGCTAGTAACCCCTTCTCCTGTATATATTGCTAAATGTAAAAGGAGAAACTTTAGTTTTTCCTTTTGGGCCACCCCACCTCGGTGGGATACGGCCGGTGTGTTGAAAGAAGAAGAAGAATACTATTACTATCAGTAAGTTACCTACCTATCATATTTATTCCAGAATAATATTAGGTATAACATAAATAATGTAGAAGCATGATAAAGATGCCTAAATTAATAAAAACATGACATTATAGAGAGGTATTGAAGGTTGGAGGGTGGGGAGGGATAAAAAAAAAAAAAAGACAGCAACCATTACAGAAAGCGTTGCACGCTATGTGCTAAACATACACTTTTTCAGTAAGTCAGTAAGTTATTCAGTCAAGTCAGTGTATTATTCACCTCGTTCTTTTAATTGTAAGAACTGATGCTTCATTAAGGCCATAGGCCCTCACTTTATCCACCACACGTGAAACCACTCTTAAGCTTATCTAATATCTCGATTTTCTTCGTAATTCCTAGACTTGAACACTTAAACCTTTTCTTGTCACTTGCGGGAACACTTGTATGCTTACTGGGTACCATGATTGTTTGGCAAATTTAACAAGTGGTATTGAAAATAAGCAAATATGTATGTATATAAACAAGCACAGCAAGCTTCCCCAGTATCATCATTGACTCAATGGTGTAACCAACAGACCATCCCGCTCAGCGGGCGACCGCGCGCTCAAAATTTATTCCCCTTCCAAAACCGTGTTAAACTAATTTTACGAAGTGTTAAGCAAAAATATGCCGCAATTCTTCAATCGTGCTACAACCAAAATGTGCAAGACAAAACCATGTTAAACAACAGTCTACTGTATTGTATAGTACAATGAATAACATTTGAACAGAATACTGGAGATTATAGTTTAAAGTTGCTTTTTTGTTATCAGTATTGTTTCAGATATTTAGCACTTTGATTATGGTGTAATTTGGACCTTTCCTTATTTTTTTCCTGACTAAGTTTGGTAATTTATACAGGAAAAGGGGTTACTAGCCCCTTGCTTGCAGCATTTTAGTCACCTCTAACAACACCATGGAGGAAGAATTCTTATCCACTTCCCCATGGAGAATGAGTGTATATGTGGCCATTATATGGCCATTTCGCTCTGCTGTAACAGCGTAGATGTTTGTATGCCTAATCTCAAAAATAGACTTCCTACAATGTGATGGAAGGTCCAGGGCTCCAACAATAGTACAGTGGATGGTTTGTTCAAGATCAGTGTTGAGCTTGGAAGGGAGGAAGGTACAGTGGAACCCCGGATTTCGTCCGCACCGGATATCGTACGATTCGGATTTTGACCACTTTTTTAAGTGAAATTTTTGCTCCAGATTTCATACCTCGTCCCAGAAATCATCCATATCGGACGCGTCCGCCCGCCCGGGATGCCGCCATTCATATGTACATGTCTCGGTCTGGCTCAGTCACTAGTTAAGTGAGCATTTATCTGAAAAGTTTCATAATCATTGTTTTTGTGCTTGTTTATTGAGTGCAACTGTGAAATAAGCCATCATGGGCCCAAAGAAAGTTCCTAGTGCCAGCCCTTTGGTAAAGAAGATGAGAAACACTATAGAATTCAAGAAAGAGGTTAAGGACATTTGTGCAAAGTGGAATGAGGTGCAAACTTTTCTGGAAAAATATCACCCTGACCAAACTGATACAAGCTGTGTCTGCAATACCTTGTCCCATTTTAGGTAAATCTTAGAGACGCCAGAGACAGAGCTCTCTGGACAGATATTTAGTGCAACAGGGGTCTAGTGCCAGTAAAAGACAAAGAAAGGAAGTAACTGCAGATAGGGCTTTGATACCTGAAGCCCTTATGGAAGGAGATTCCCCTTCCAAGCAATAACCTCTGCTCCTCCTCTCTCTCCCCTCCTCGCCATCCATACCCCAACAAGATTCTTCAATAAAGGTAAGTGTGATGTTAACCCTTAAACCTTTATATACAAAAAAGCGTCACAAGTACTATCACCAATCATTGCAACACTCTTTAACAAATCCATTGAATCCTCCACCTTCCCTACAGTTCTCAAAATAGCAAGGGTCACCCCGATCCATAAAGGAGGAGACCAAACAGAGTTGAATAACTATAGGCCAATATCCAACTTACACCCTCTCTCAAAAATCTTCGAAAAATTAATTCATAAACGAATCTACTCCTACCTCATCTCCCAAAACATTCTCAACCCCTGCCAATTTGGATTCAAGCCTAATAAAAATACTAATGATGCTATTATACACATGCTAGAACATATATACACTGCAATAGAGAAAAAAGAAGTCCCACTGGGGATCTTCATTGACTTACGTAAAGCTTTTGATACAGTTGACCATGACTTGCTCCACGTAAAATTGTCACACTATGGTATTAGAGGGCACTCCCTCAACTACCTCAAGTCTTACCTCAGCAACAGAAGCCAATATGTGTACGCAAATGGGGCAAGCTCTTCCGCACAACCAATTACAGTTGGTGTCCCACAGGGAAGTGTCCTTGGCCCTCTTCTCTTTCTCCTATACATAAATGACCTACCAAATGCTTCGCAATTACTCAAACCCACACTTTTTGCAGATGACACTACATACGTCTTCTCTCACCCGAGCCCAGTCACGCTAGCCAATACTGTAAACACCGAATTACAGAAAATATGAGGATGAGGACTAACAAACTTACACTAAACATTGACAAAACCTACTTCATTCAGTTTGGTAACAGAGCTACAGATGTACCTCTTAACATAACAATAAACGGATCACCTATCACAAAGCTAACAGAGGGAAAATTCCTGGGAATCCACCTCGATAATAGACTCAAATTTCATACACATATACAACAAATTTCTAAGAAAATTTCCAAGACTGTAGGCATACTATCGAAGATACGGTACTATGTTCCACAGTCAGCCCTCCTGGCCCTTTATCACTCTCTTATTTACCCCTATCTCACCTATGGAATTTGTGCATGGGGCTCAACAACAATTAACCATCTCAGACCACTAATTACCCAACAAAAGGCTGCATGTTAGAATGATAACAAATTCTCACTACAGGCAACACACTCCACCAATATTCAAAACACTCAACCTACTCACCATACAAAACATCCATACTTATTATTGCACCTATTACATACATAGAACACTTAACTCTGATATTAACCCTCCCCTCAAACATCTCCTTGCCAACCTCAACAGAACACATGACCATAACACAAGGCACAGATCACTCTTTGATGTTCCTCGTGTCCATCTCACGCTATGCAAAACTCAATGCACATAAAAGGCCCTAAAATCTGGAATTCATTACCTGTAAATATAAAAGAAACACTACCTGTTTATAAATTCAAGTCTCTTCTCAAAGATCACTTACTCACTCAAAACCAAATAAATACTGAATAACTGAACCTTATAAATTGTATATCCTATATGTTACTCACAATTATATCACACAAATGTTAAACCTAGGACCCAATCTAACTTTATTATTTTTTAAATACACTACCTAACAGAATACTCCATTCGACTGAATGTACAGCAATGCAAGCAACCATATGACCTGTCTTTGTAATACTCATTTGTGCTTTATAGTTATCTGTTTACAATAATGTTTTATCACTGATTTCATCATTGCTTAGTTAATCTTTAGTTAATTTTAAGCCAGCCCGTAATGCTATGCATATAAGTGGCTTTGGCATGCTGCTCTTACCTGTATTTTTTGTACCTCTGTATGTATGCTTAAATTACTAAATAAATAAATAAATAAATAAAAACTGTCCAAACAGATTTACATTCACATGCGTAGTGCTCCAAAAGTAGATGTTCAGTTTTTTATATATTTTCAAATATAACAAAAAAAAAAAAAACGTAGATCAAAGTTTTTTACACGTTTTCAAATGTAAAAAAAAAAAAAAAAAAAAAAAAAAAAATATTATATTTTTTTACATACAGGTGGACCCTCGAATTTAGTAGTGCCTTTTCTGTATGCAAAACTATTTTTATCTATAAAATGTATTGTTTGTTAATATTTTGGGGTGTCTGGAATGGTTTAATTGGATTTACATTATGTATTTCCTTTGGGAAATATTAACAAAACATACATTTTTAGATAATAAAAATAGTTTTGCACACAGAAAAGACACTACTAAATTCGAGGGTCCATTGTACTTTCAAATGTTGAAAAAACGTAGATCTACGTTTGGACAGTTTAAGGGTTAAATGTTCATTTATCCATTTCATTAGTCATTTATATTTCTTTCTCATTGTTTTTTGTATGTAAAATTATAGTTATTCTTTAAAAAAATTTTTTTTTGTTAATATTTTTGGATGTCTGGAATGGATCAATTGTATTTACATTATTTCTTATGGGAAATATTGCTTTGGTTTTCATCCATTTTGGATTTAGACCAACCTTGTGGAACGGATTAAGGACAAAATTCGGGATTCCACTGTAATTGTATTAATGCACTTTTGATATTCGGCAAATGGGATGGGAAGGTCTTCAATGGCACATGAAACAAAGTTGTACATTACTATTTTTGAGACTACCTTGGTTTCAGTTACTGTTAGTTTAGGCTGAATTCTTGTGCAACCATTTTTCAGTTACATTTACCCCATTTATTAATTTGTGTGCCTAATTACCTTATTATTTGTGCACTTATGTACCATCTAATTACTTTTTTTATTACTTTTTATTTCTGATAGTTGTTGTTCTTTCAACAAACTGGCCATATTCCACTGTGGCAGGGTGGCCCAAAAAGAAAAACGAAAGTTTCTCTTTTTAAATTTAGCACATAATATATATAGAAGGGGTTACTAGCCCCCTGCTCCTGGCATTTTAGTCGCCTCTTATGACTTACATGGCTTACAGAGGAAGAATTCTGTTCCACTTACCCGTGGAGATAAGCGGAAATAAACAAGAACTAGTAAGAAAATAAAAAAAAACCCAGAGGGGTGTGTGTATATATATTTGCTTTTACATGCATGTGTAGTGTGACCTAAGTGTAAGAAGAAGTAGCAAGACATACCTGAAATCTTGCATGTTAATGGGACAAAAAAGACATCAGCAATCCTACCATCATGTAAAACAATTACAGGTTTCCAATTTACATTCACATGGCAGGACAGTAGTACCTCCCTGGGTGGTTGCTGTCTACCATCCTACTACCTAGGATTTCTGACAGTTGTTCCTCTAATTTTGAACTTCTGCACAGTTACTTTAAATCTGTAGATAATACTTCGTTTTATTTAAAAAACTGATTTATTCTAATTCATACAGATCTTGGAGCTTCACCTAACTACCGAGATGCACGTGGCTTGACACCTTTATATTATTCTGTAATTCATGCCACTGATCCACTGCTTTGTGAAGCTCTCCTGCATGACTATGCTGTGATAGGTGCCTCAGACAACCAGGGCTGGCAGGAGACCCATCAGGTATGTCAAATTCAAATTTCTTTTTATGCCATACAAGGATAATGTAGTTTACATGTAATACAATATTGCTAGGCACAAAAGAAAGCCATACGTAGGCAAATGCATCTTTTTATGAAATTATTTTTTAAAAAATCTGTGAACCATTCCATGTGCAGTATATGGTACCCCTACGTTTTTTCTTTTTAAAGATGACAAAATGTTGTACAGGGTAAATAATGTACTTACTGTTGGTGTGAGCAAGGGAACATATATGAATGGATTCAGGGAAACTATTTAATAATAATAATTTTATTTCTTTGTAAAGGTTACAATATGTAATTACAATTTTGATTTGCTAAGTACAAAGATAGCCACTATCATGCCGAGGCATTTCAGGCAAACTAATCCTAATACATAGTAACTAATTAAAACTAGATAAGGTAATAGTACATAGTAATTATTACTTAAAACTAAACATAGAATAGTGGTTAGCTGTTTTACAATCTTATTTGGACTTATTTGAGTCCTGGAGGCGAAAAGTAGAGTGCTTGCACTCTGGAGGGATGGGGATGCTACAGTTCTGATTATAGATTGAATGATGGTGAATATAGGATGATGGGAGAGAGCCAGTGTATTAAAAAAAATGTGTAGGAAATACAGTACTGTATAATATTTTAATTATAATGGAAAAAACTATATGAAAGATGGGAAATAAGCCAACATGTAGTAAATCAAACACCCTTAGCAAGCATTTATAAAATATGATGAAGCTCACATATTGAAATTTTTGTTAAAAGCTTAATTCATCTGCCTTTGCTGTACCAGGAAATATAATATTGGAAGTAATTTTGACTTGAGAAGCTTTCTGCTTCCTTGCTTTTGGTTAACTCTTGGTATTTACTTGGTATCTAATTATGTATGTACCTCATACTACCTCAATATTGTATGTGCCTAGTTAGGTATGTCTCTAATTATGTATTTATCTAATAATGTATATTCATATGTGCTGCTCCATGACCTATATTAATACAGAGTAAGAATTAGTATTAGTCTACCCAAAATGCCTAGGCATACTAGTGGCCTTTGTAATTAACATTTCACATGTAAACCAAACATTGTAAGCTCTACAAGGAAATAAAAAATTTTAATTTTAATTTTACCAAAACTTGCAAAATGCATTGAGCATCATTAAAGTTGCATTACTTTCATTCATATCTGGATTAAATTGCTGTACACCACTTGCTGATTGTGCTTAATGCTTGTTTTTATTTTTTCAAGGCTTGTCGAAACAAGATGGTGCAACACTTGGAACATCTCCTTTTTTATGGTGCTGATATGAACGCTCAGAATGCCTCTGGTAACACACCTCTTCACGTTTGTGCTGTTAACAACCTGGAAGACTGTGCTCGTGTCTTACTCTTCAGGGGATGCAATAAAAATGCCATCAACTATGCCAACCAGACTCCATATCAGGCGAGATTATTTTCAAGTTAATACTATGCATAGCAGCAAGTATGATTTAAATGGTTTACATTGCAGTGATAGTACAATGTAATTATAAAATCAGTATCATATCAGCAAAGTTGAAATTGTCATTTGTAGAAGGTACAAGGTGATGATTATAATCTTTCAACGCACTGGCCGTATCCCACCGAGGCAGGGTGGCCCAAAAAGAGAAACGAAAGTTTCTCTTTTTAAATTTAGTAATTTATACAGGAGAAGGGGTTACTAGCCCCTTGCTCCCGGCATTTTAGTCGCCTTTTACAACACGCTTGGCTTACGAAGGAAGAATTCTGTTCCACTTCCCCATGGAGATAACAGGAAATAAACAAGAACTAGTAAGAAAATAGAAGAAAACCCAGAGAGGGGGGGGTGTGTGGTGTGGGGTGTGTGTGTGTGTGTGTGTGTGTGTGTGTGTGTGTGTGTGTGTTGTGTGTGTTGTGTGTGTGTATGTATATGTTATATATAATATATATATATATATATATATATATATATATATATATATATATATATATATATATATATATATTTATATATATATATATATATATATATATATGTATATATATATAATATATATATATATATATATAATATATATATATATATATATATATATATATTATATATATATATATATATATATATATATTATATTATTAACTATATATATACATATATATATATTAAAAAAAATAATAAATATATCTATATTATTATATATTATATATATATATAAATATATATTAAATATTATATTTATTTCTTCTTTCAACGCACTAGCCGTATCACTGAGGGAGATGTCCCCACAAAAGGAAAAATGAAAGTTTCTAGTTAAATTTATTAATATAAAGGAGAAGGGTACTACCCTTGTCCGGATTTTAGTTGCTCTTACAACATGCATAGCTTACGAGAAAATCTGTACATTCCATGGAGATAGGAACTAACAGAACTAGAAAGAAAATAGAAGAAAACCAGAGATGTGTGTGAATAATGCTTGACAGATGTGTAGTGTGACCCAAGGTAATAGAAGACAAGATGTACCCTGAAATCTTGCATGTGTATGAGACAGAAAAAAAGGACACGCATCTACATCATGTAAACAATTAAGGTTTCATTTTACACTCCTCAGCAGGATGTGTCCTACCGGGCGGTGTGTTACCAACCTACTACCTAGGATGATTATAATAACTAATAATAATAATAAAAAATAAAAAATAAATATATATGGAAAATATGGAAAAAATAAAATATAATAATCTTTATTTACTTGTTGTTGGAGTGTAATCAAGGTAACATTTATGAAGGGATTCAGGGAAACCGGCAGGCCGGACTTGATTCCTGGAGATGAGAAGTACAGTGGCTCTCTGAAGGAGGGGTGTTAAAGTTGCTGTTTTATAACTGTAGTGTAAGCACGCCTCTGGTAAGGCAGTGATGGAGTGAGTGATGATGAAAGTTTTTCTTTTTCAGGCCACCCTGCCTTGGTGGGAAATGGCCTATGTGTTGAATAAAAAAAAAAAAAAAAAAAAAAAAAAAAACTATTTCTACAAGTACATGTACAAGTTATAAAGGCCTAGCAGACATTGACATACTACTACGTATATAGAAAGCCCTTTGTTATACAGAGCATTTCGAGCAAATTAGGTAAATTTTGTTCCCAGGATGCGACCCATACCAGTCGACTGACACCCAGGTACCTATTTTACTGATAGGTGAACATGGACAGTAGGTGTCTTAAGAAAATGCATCCTAATGCTTCCATCCATACCAGGGATTGAACCCCAAACCTCAGTGTGTGAGGTAAAATAAAAGCAATAATGCTTGAGTGTTAGATCAGACTTAGTGTAAACAAATGTTTTTTTATTGTTTGATGTGCTGTTGGAGTGTGAGCACGGTAACATGGATGAATTCAGGGAAACCGGTTAGCCAGACTTGAGTCCTGGAGGTCTGAAGTAAAGTGCCTTTACTTTGGGATGGTGGTGGTGGTGATGCATCTGCACACTTCTGGCTAGACAACTATTGAGTGAACTATACCAAAATTTTTGCCAATGCTGATGCCAGTACCATCAAAATTAGACAATACCCACTAATATCGATAATAAATTTTAGGCCGATGCCAGTACTGACATTATCAAAAGCAACTAATTTCAATACTGTGACACAGTGGAAGAATGATTTATCCCATTTATGTCATTTTCTTTTGGTCAGTCGTGTATTGTGCAGTCCCACAGACATTATGAAGCCACATACACTTGATTTAGTATAGTATCAGTTGAAGATTTACGTTCTCCCTTCCTTTCCCAAAGACAATAGTGAAATAGTTATGTGAATTTTGATAGGATAATTTTTTGTTTTGTACCAAAACTAACCTAGTCACATATCCTAACTTTGCAAAAATTTATGTCAAACAAAATGCCATGATTTAGATAGAATATCTAACAATTTGCATTACTATGTATTGCATTTTTTCACTGAACACTTCTAAAGTTACTGTGAAGATAATCTTCAGGAAAATCTGCAAATATTACAGAGACAGTATAAATTAGTATGAGTGTGGTATAATGATTTTGAAAACATGTTTGTGTTTTGGACATTCACCAGTGGTATGTGATGTAAATCTATCTTACGAGAACAAAAAAAAAAAAAAAGTAACTGATTTTTACGGCAACTGAACTTGTGGTATTTGTGGTAACTTTTATAATTAAGGAGTAGTGATGTATATTTTTCCTCTTTAAATTTGGGGAAAAAGAAAATTTATTTATGCCAGCACTGTAGTGTGTATATTTCATTATAGATGGAATGGTATATTTATTTATTTTCAGGTTGCCGTAATTGCTGGAAATATGGAACTTGCTGAAGTGATAAAAAATCATAGCATAGATGATGTTGGTAAGTTCTTACCTGTTGTATTTAAATGCTGTTTTAATGTCAGGAGAATTGGAAAAAATCAAATATTTCTGCTACTTTGAGCTCAAATTCAAGCTACTTCTGGTTCATAAACCATCCAAAATCATTGCTATTTCTATTAAATGATACCCAGCAAATCATTAAAATCATAAAAATCATCTGAGAAGACACCTCAAAGATACTATTTTAAACTGTGTACATGCATGGTCAGTTTTTTCCCCATCATGCACAATGTAAGTATGTACATATTTTCTTTATACTGTGCACACTTGCCAAATGGACCCATTTTCTCATATCTAGGCCAAAATTTATGGCTCACAGCTTATCTGAGTGACCTGAACTCATGATGTAGAACTGTGTGAGGGACCCTGATCTCAATGATGTAGTTCTACATTACAGCCACTGAAAAAGTTAATAAAGCATACTAAGAATAGATCTCATAACTGTCCTAAAACTACTGGACTTAGTGAACTACCTAGTTAGTTTGATTGCTTGTATGCCTAGTTTAATACATGCTAGTATGAAGAGATGGTAATGTAAACTGAACTCCCTTAATTTTCATTACAGACATAGTAATGCCAAACAAAGCCAGCTTTGTCATCTTTGGTATTAGCTCAGGTCCTCTTCAAAAAAAAAAAAAAAAAAAAACTTTGCCATCACTTGAAATCATGACAGAGACTTACTACTTGTATACTGACCTGTCCACTATTATTATTACTGTCAAGAAAGCCACACTTGGGTGCTTCACTGTACTCTCTCTGTATACTTCATGTCCATGTATTTTTTTGTATTAGTCTGCAAACCTGATTAAAACAGCTACAATAAATATCTTGTTAATTTTGTTTGTTTACCTAACACGTTGTCAGTATTCTTACCAATAATGATTTCCTTGTGCTACTTTGTGGTTTCAGCAATTTGTACGTGTTTCTTTTGGCTATTCAAGTGACTATATCAAAATTATTATAAGCATTGTTTTTACAGTTTCATTCAAGGAGCCTCCTAAATACAATCCAAACCGTCGCATCTCTGGGGCTCCTCTCTCCCGAACACATTCAGACCCAAGATTGGAAGTCAGTGCTTTAACAAAGCCACCGTCTCCTTCTCCTTCAAGTAGATCCATCCCACCCTTCAGCTCTGCTTCCTCCTTGAGCGAGACCTCAACAGGCAGCAGTTCCACGTGTACTCATCCAAGTGAAATGGATTCTGAAGAGTGTGCCAGTGCTCTAGGTTCAGCGAGTCTTAATGCTGGTAAGTTGTACTAGGATAAAGGTTTCCCTACTTGAGATATACTATGATATTGACACTATTGAACCAGTTAATGACTTGCAAACCATGACTCACTCTCCTGGGATGTTCCTGCTTAGGATTTACTTAAGGCTGAATTATAAATATTTTTCTTGTTTAGGTTTTTAGTAAATGCATTCATATTTTGTTTATGCTCATTTTATGCATGTAAAGAGAGCTCTCATTCATAATAGTAGATGGTATGGGAATACTGACAATTTGTAATAAGATAAACAAGCGGCAATTGAAAATTATGAAGACAATGTTTCACCTGCTCTGCTGACAAAACATCTTATTAAGGTCTCCAATTGCTGCTTATCTATTTTCTTTCTAGTTCTTGTTCTTGTTTATTTCCTGTTATCTCCATGGGGAAGTGGAACAGAATTCTTCCTCTGTAAGCCATGCGTGTTGTGGGAAGCGACTAAAATGCCGGGAGCAAGGGGCTAGTAACCCCTTCTCCCATATAAATTACTAAATTTAAAAGAGAAACTTTCGTTTTTCTTTTTGGGCCACCCTGCCTTGGTGGGAATATGGCCGGTGTGTTGAAAGAAAAGAATTGCTGCTTATGTGTCCTCATCAGTTAGAGTTGACATTTGCTTGGTAGTTTCATTGAGAACTATAGATTCAGTATTTATAATTTTCATAAGACTGTGGTAACCACCACTGTCTTCAACCCGGGTACTGGACATGACAGAGTGAAGCACACAACAATGGCCTTTGTCGCACCCACCCCTCGCACAATTATAGACCCTATCTTTCTCTTATTGTATAAAATGCTCTTATCAATTATAGGTATTCTTTCCTCTTATAATTTCACACTTGAGATTACTGGAGAGTACTGGATAATTTTCAGTTTCATATTTTATATATTTCCTATTAGTGCTAAATACTCCCATGTAATGATGACCATTCAAGTTAAAAGATGTTTTAATTTGAGGAAATAGAATCTAGCAGGTATACTGAAAGTAAAAAGTTTTTTTTTTTTACTTGGAGGATAGTTGTGACATTTTGTGTATCGCAATATAATACTTAAGTACAAATTATTTTAATTATAATGAGTCTTGTATTAAATTGTAGAATGTGATACCTGTACTCAAAATGTTTTGGACCCTTTATTAATTCATAGATGCATGAAGTAACTGCAAAATATCTACCTCTATTTTAATGCCTTTTTCATCAGGTTAAAGAGTAATATATTTAATTATCCTAAATATTAAAATTCTAATATAACCATGAAATTTACAGCAGGTGTAGACTGCTGTGATATGGTGAGTGACAGCTCAGGTGTTTGTACCTCAAACAGTGGCAGTGCAGAGAGTTATGATGCAACCCCTACTGACATCACTCAGTTTAACATGGGTATGCTGGTGGTGTGTTTGCATCAGTACACTCCACACAAACCAGGACATCTTGATATAAATGCTGGAGACATTTTGGAAGGTGAGAAGGACTGTATAACATTTCTCAAAAAAAAAAAAAAATACCATGTAGTTTTGTGTTTTTATTATCAAATGAAAGTAAAGTTTTGTTAACTTTGGTTTACAGTAACTGGGAGCACAGATGATGGCATGCTAGAAGGAGTGCTTCGCGGAATTACAGGCCTTTTTCCACCACACTGTGTTCAAGAAGTGCGTTTACGTAATCCTCAAGCTGTGAGAGAATCCTTGATTGCTCCTCAGGTGGCAAGGGTTCAGGGAAGAAGAGAGATTATGATTCAGCAGCATTATGGTACAGCGCCACGGATTAGAAAACCGTAAGCTATAGATTTCTTCTTGGTAGAATATCAGACATTTTATAACCTGCACGGGTTTGTCAAAAATAGGAATCGATATCAGAAATGCAGATCTTAATGCTCATATCACTGTATACATGTTAATTCCAAGTTGGAAATATAGTTTGAGAACACTTTGCCAGTAAAGACTTTTATCAGATTTTAAGCCTCTACTGGCACATATGAAAAAAGTCTATTCCTTGGTTTGGGGTTTCTGTATCTACATCATTGTCAGGACTTTCTCTGTTCAACCAGTCAGCTTATAGATTTAATAGAGATGATTTTCAAGTACTGTATCTAAAATACAGTTTGATAAGTAGAACAGTAAGTGGATTCTAGTCAGCTTTGTTATGAGAATTATAAATGCTCAAAGCACCTCAATAACCCACCTCAGCCCTCTGAGTAACCCAGCAGTCTTCTAATTTCTATGCTCCAAATTCTCTTCGTAATGTTCACACCATACATTGCTCTCAAACCTAACATTTCCACTGCCTCTATCCTCCGTCATGCTACAACATTCAAAAGCCATGCCTCGCCCATTTAAGTGTTGGCACCACTAATCTCTTGATATTCCTTGTTTTGCATCGAAAGATAAATGTTTCTTCTCGCAGATGCCTCAGCACACCACCTACTTTTTTTCTCCTCGTCTATTCTCTGGTTCGCCTTGTTTTGCATAGACCCATAGGCTGGTGTGTCCACTCCTGAGTATCTAAATACATCCACTTCCTTCATGCCCCCTTTTGCCAATCTGATGCCCAATCTCTCACTGTTTAGACATTTTGCTACTCTTATCTTTCTCTCTATATTCACCTTTAGATTGCTTCTTTGACATACCCTTCAAAATTCCTTCACTGATTTTTGCAATGTATCTGCATAATCTCATAAAAGAACTGTCATCAGCAAAGAGCTATTGTAACAGCTTTCACTTTGTATCAGATCTCTCATCTTTTAATCTCGTGCCTCTCTTCTACACCCGAGCATTCACTTTTTTTTTTTTTTTTTTCACAACCCCAATTTGGAATATATTTTATTTGTGTATATTCTGTGTATTAAAACAGATTTTTCTTTGAAGCCTTGGTTTCCTCAGAGTTCAAAAGCCCCATTAGTACTGCTCCTCCATAAAAATTTGTATTTTTTGGTTGTACATCTGAATATATATAGAGGTATGCTTGCACTGTACAATTAGGGAGTGTTTTGGATAGGTGTAACAAACTAATGCTATATCTGGACAAGATAGTGACTACACTTTAAACCAATCATGTAGATCACTACTTTTTTCGAAACAAACCCTATTGAGCAAGTCTGAGTCATTAAGATGGTAAGTCATTACAATGATATGAATTGTAACTTTGAAATTCTTGATATTGGCATAATTTCAGCATAAACGAACCTCGAACTGTTGTCCTTCATCGTGGTAAGAAGGGCTTTGGCTTTGTTTTGCGAGGAGCAAAAGCCACTTCTCCTCTTATGGAACGGCCCAACGAGCGAGGTCCAGCCCTGCAATATTTGGATGATGTGGATCCAGGAGGTGTAGCTGATTTAGCTGGTCTCAAAAAGGGTGACTATTTGGTCAAGGTTAGTGTTTTAAAGTGGTGGGTCCTTGGTTGTAATGGCTCCTTCATTCCAAATTTCAAAATACTGTATGGTACTGTACATAATAAATGCTTCAACTGGAATGTACTATATGTAGTGCATGAAGTAGTAATACTGATTTCCATAGCTATACTGTACCTGTAAATAAATAATTTTTATGTACGTAATTGTATACTGTATTAAGAATCAATGACTTTCTCTTTTAAGCTTCATAATATACACACTACAATATTTGTACAGTGGAACATTGGTTTTCGTCATTAATTCGTTCCAGAACGTTTGATGAAAACTGAATTTGATGAAAACTGAAACTATATTTCCCATAAGAAATAATGTAAATCCAATTAATCCGTTCCAGACACCAAAAGTATTAACAAAAAATGCATTTTATAGAGAATAACTTTAGTTTTACATACAGAAAAAATGAGAAATATAAAGGACTAATGAAATGGATAAATGAACATTTAACGTCACTTTTACCTATATTGAAGACTCTTGTTGGCGTATGGAAGATGGCAAGGAGGGGAGAGGGAGGAGAGGTTATCTCTACCACCCTCTACCACCATCACAACCACTACCACCCTCTACCACCATCACAACCACCCTTACTACCACCCTCTACCACCATCACAACCACTACCACCCTCTACCACCATCACAACCACTACCACCCTCTACCACCATTACAACCACTACTACCATCACTACCACCCTCTACTGACAAGAAAGAAAGCCAGACTGACTCAGAGCACGTGGGATGCTTTGTGTGGGTGCGTACAGACACGTTCAGTACAGCTGACCACTGTGAACTTGACGAAAACAGAGGTGATGAACAAAAACTGGGACAAAATTTTGACAAAAAAAAAGTTGTTGAAAACCGAATTCAACAAAAATCAGGGCAAACAAAAACCGAGGTTCCACTGTAATTTGTTTTGTAATTGAGGACAGTATGCAGAAACTTGATCAGTTTTCCATACCCTGGTTTTCAGATTAATGGAGAAGATGTATCCCAAGCTTCACATGAGCACGTTGTGACGTTAATTCGTAAATCAGGTGACCTGGTCCAGATGATGGTCGTAACTCCGACTCCAATCACCTTTATGGCACATAAGCCACCAATTGGCAACCTGGGAACTATCAGACGTGGGTGCCAGACACTCCCTCGAAAACTCCATGCAGGTAGATGCATGTTCCTCTTTCTCTTCTCCAGACCACGCTTGGACTGGTGGATAGCCATGGGTTCATGGATCCCGATTGCCATCCACTTGTGGGTTTTTGAATGCAGTAAACCCTGGTGGTTGTGAAGATAAGGAAGACCATAAGGAATGTTGGTCCCTGGAGGATTGTTAAACATTACCTGATCATACTCAACTCTTAATGTATGATGTTTGGATGTTCACTCAAAGATCATGTTCTCAACAAAAGTAGCATGTAAAAACTAATCATTTGTATTTTAACCTCAGTATGTTTGTTTTCCAAACTTTTAAATGAAAATAATTGCTAGCATGTGAATGTCTTTCATATTGTTTCTACTATTTTGTAGAGTACAATGTTTACTGAGTGATCCTATGTTACTTTTATGGAGTTCAATACTGTATTTATTTTAAATTTCACAAGTCTTTAGCCTGATTAAAGTGTCTTGATGTGAAAAATTGACCTTCCTCTTGTTCCTTGTTAATGCCTTTGTAAACCCTTGGTGTTTCCACTACCTGCAAAGGAGTTTTCTCTTTTGTTCATTTTTGTTTTGCAAGAACATAGCAGAATTTTGTATACAGTAAATGAAATGCAAATATTTACTTGTTAGCTTTAATAAGGCCCAAGGAAAAGACCACTGAAGATTTGAACAAAAATGCAGCAAATATGATTTACGTAGAAACTTCCTCCACTCTTTAATTTCATGTACAATGGAACCTCTATTACCCACATATCTATTTCTGGTCATAAAAGGGTAATTTGTATTTGGAATATAGCCAAGGTACTCCCTCACAAGGCTCATGTAGAACAGAATAAAATTGTGGCCTGTCATAAAGTAAAATGCTTAATAAAATAATTTATATTTTTATTAAGAAAATATGTATTTAGATTTATAAAGTTATTATTGCAGTACTGTTAGCAAAACTAGCACATTGTTTTTGATGGTGGATAATAATGGGAGCATGATGTAAGGAGAAGGGAGATTAAGTCTTCTATTAACCAGGCTCCACTCTGACCTTGCAGGAAAATACGGGGTGACACCTCATTTCCGCTATTAGTAATTGATATCAAATGATTGAGCCTTCATGTTGTCAGTCATCGAGGACAATGACATAATCCGGTTAAAAGCCCTAAATGATCTAGTCTTCATGAATCACGTCAATATATTTTTACGGTGGCATAATTTAGTTATTACTATATTTGCCAGATGGTAGTACAGGTACTGTACTGTGGTTATGTTGGGAAAAATGCCCACAAGCTATGTACATGCCTCTGCTGTTGATAATCTCCATCTTTTGCTTTTACTCATCTATAATACAACTGGTTCAGCCTCATGAGAGTGTAAATATCTCTGATTTTCATTTAATTGGGAGACTGTAGAGATTTCCTGTTTTATGTTATCCTACATTGGTGGGAAATAGCCGATATAGTTAAAAAATAAATAAATAGGGGTTCTATTGTATTTAATTTTTGTCTTACTATTGTACAGTCTGAATCCTAGGAGAAATATGACTGATGCCTTTCATAATTTTGCTTATGCTTTGCTGGCAATCTGGATAATTGTTGAGGACTACTCTGTACTAACGAAATTATATATATTTTTTAATGGAAGATTGAACTCATCCAGTATATGTATCACTTGGTTAACTTCAGGAAACTAACAACAGATTCTTACCTGTAATTTTATATGTCATTGTTTGGTTATTGCAAGATAATATACTAATTTAATTAAAATAGCAAATAAAAAATGTATATTTTTTCCTCAACAAAATTCAGTAAATTGAAATAACCCTTGTGATTCCCTAAGAGCTTGCTGCCGCCACCAAACTAACTGTGGTTGTGTGTGTCTTCCCTCCTTAGTGCGGTCGTCCCAAGCCCCCCCTGCACCCCCCCCAAGAGATCCCAGAACAACCCTAAGTGTTGGACGAGCAAGAGCTAAATCTATGGTGGCTGGACTTCACGACATTGGTAAGATGGGCTGGCACTTGTTGTATTAGATGTTGTCCCAGTTTAATCTGTTTAATGATCTCTGCCTGCTTTATGGATACAGCAGTTAAGAAAAAGATGTTAATCATGTTTGATATCGAACTGTAGTCCCATATCATTGGCATTTGCCATTTTCTTTACAGATGTGTTTCATCTTTGTCTTCTGTTACAGCTTTCATGATAGGATTATTCACCTTTGTCTTACTTATAATAGTTTTTGTTCCTTGCTGAAGATATGACAAAAAGGCATCACATATCTGGACAGGTTGGAACCAAGGCCTTTTGGGACCATTTAATTTTCTAGTTCTGAATTACTAATTAAACACATGGTATTTACACTAGTGTACTCCTTACTAAAAACTAATGCCATCTAGTTCATTTACTTAATAGGGTGTTTTCCATTCTTCAAGTCTGAATGATTAAAATCTGGAAACAGTTTTGTGTTCAAAGGCTGTGAAGCAAGTTAACAGATTTTAGAGGTGTTTCCTCTAATTATGGTTCTGGAGAAATCAGTATCTGCATTTATGTAGATAATCTTAAGACTTCTTGTAGGATAAGGTGAGATTTGATTAATGCTCTTGCATTTTCATTGAAGGAGAAAACTCACTTGAGCCACTGGGTGCCCTTTCTCTACTTACTGTAACTTTCAGCCATCTTCCTGTGTGCTTGGCATACCCAGTATTTAGTGTTTCTTGTACAAACTTTTTCCCCTGCCATTGGTTCTTATATATTTTCTTTTTTCTTTCTTTTTCTGGTGCTACCTTTAGCTTCTCTGGCTCTCATTATCACTGTTGCTTTGTTCTTTTCTAGGATTTGGTAGTGTTTCATTGTTACCTACAAGGTCAAGGCATCATTTTTTTACAGACTGGTGTCTGTTTTCAGCAAATATGCAGATGTCCTTTTTGAAGCCCCCTTTTTCTCATTGGCTTCATTCATCTCATATAGAGGCATGCATCTGTATCTTCCTTCTTCCTCACAGTTGTGACCTTTCTCTTGTGAACATTCCCTGTTACTGTTTTCTTTTGATCCTTAAATTTGCTTGTTTACTGGGTACTTGATTTTATTTCTGTTAATTCTTCTTTCAACACACCGGCCGTTAATTACATTTAGTAATTTCTTGATATAAGTTTCCTTATTCTAACTTTTATTCAGTTTTATCATTTATTACTTCATTTTTCTGTCTAATTTTGCTTAATACAGTAGGGCCCCACTTACAGGAGGTTAGGTTCCAGGCTACCGCCGTAAAGTGGAAATCGTAAAGTGAAACACCTCTTTTTTCCACTTATAAATGCATACAAATACTAGATAACAAGTTTACACTAACATATATTAAGTTAGTAAGTAAGTAAGTTTATTCAGATATACACAAATGCAGTTACATAGATTATCATACATAGCAGTACAGTGGACCCCCGCATAGCGACTTGAATCCGTGCAAGAGGGCTCATTGTTATGCGAAATGATCGGTATGCGAATGAATTTTCCCCATAAGAAATAATGGAAATCAAATTAATCCGTGCAAGACACCCAAAAGTATGAAAAAAAAATTTTTACCATATGAAATATACATTTTCCTACACACAAAGAGAAGGATACATGCACAATAGTAGAGTAGTACATGCACAATATATATTGTGCATGTACTACTCTACTAAATGAAGAATAAATGACACTTACCTTTATTGAAGATGCAGCAATGACTGATGAGACACTGTGTCCTGGGAGTGCCTTTTCCTCCTGAGTACTGTAGGTCCTGTTTGGCATTTTCTTCCAGAACAGGCCTTATCACACTGTGTATGCCACTACGATTCTTAAATCTCTCAAACCAACCTTTACTGGCTTTAAATTCACCAATATGAGCACTAGTTCCAGGCATTTTTCCCTGTTCACCTGGGTGTTAGTCGACTGGTGTGGGTTGCATCCTGGGAGACAAGATTAAGGACCCCAATGGAAATAAGTTAGACAGTCTTCGATGACACTGACTTTTTTGGGTTATCCTGGGTGGCAAATCCTCTGGGGTTAATTGTTTCTTGGTATTCTCAATAAGCCACACCAACAACGGTGCTACAGCAGCAGCAGCAGCAGCAGCAGCAGCAGCTGACAATGCTACAGCAGCAGCAGCAGCAGCTGACAGTGCTACAGCAGCAGCAGCAGCAGCAGCAGCAGCAGCTGACAGTGCTGCAGCAGCAGCTGACAGTGCTACAGCAGCAGCAGCAGCAGCTGACAGTGCTACAGCAGCAGCAGCAGCAGCTGACAGTGCTACAGCAGCAGCAGCAGCTGACAGTGCTACAGCAGCAGCAGCAGCTGACAGTGCTACAGCAGCAGCAGCAGCTGACAGTGCTACAGCAGCAGCAGACGATGCTACAGCAGCCTGCAGCAGACGGTACTACAGCAGCAGCTGACGGTGGTACAACAGCAGCAGCAGCTGACGGTGCTACAGCAGCAGCAGCAGCTGACAGTGCAGCAGCAGCAGCAGCAGCTGACGGTGGTACAGCAGCAGCAGCAGCTGTACCACCAATAGTAGCAATGGTTGATTGGGGTTTATTATACAACCTGGCCAGCTCGGAGACACGCACTCCACTTTCATACTTATCAATGATCTTTTTCTTCATCTCTATAGTAATTCTCACCCTTATTGCTGTAGGATTGGCACTAGAAGCTTTCTTGGGGCCCATGGTCACTTATTTTGCAGATAAAATCACCAAAAACACTGTAATAATACGAAATGTTCCGATTGTATGCTTGGATGTTACCGCGGAGGCTGGCTGGTAAACAATGCCACCGGCGGCACATGTGAGGCTGGCTAAGGGCGCACATTGGATGCGTCTCGGACGAACAGCGGTGAGCAGGTTTTTGAGCGGTATGCGAGGCAAAATTTTTGCGATAAAAGCGAGCGGTATGCGGATTAAACGTTATGTGATGCCGACGGTATGCGGGGGTCCACTGTATGTGTGTAAAGTACCTAGGATAACCCAAAAAAGTCACTGTGTGACTTATTTCCATTGGGGTTGGCAGTAGAACTATGCATTAAAAAACAATAAAAAAGTAAAATACACATAGTACTCATTACTTAAAATATTTGTAGTCTTAATCTAAGGTGAGATAAATAGTATTTATTGTAAGAAGTCAAGTGTGGTATGTATGGTAGGCCAGCCGAGCTACCATACCAGGCCACCCCATCCACACATAATATTCTATAACATTTAAGCATCCCAGAGTGATAAAATGCATATACAGTTCACTCATTACTTACCTTAAAATATTTGTAGTCTTAATGTAGGGTCAGAGGTGAGTAAACAAGATAAAACAAATAAATGAGAGAGAGAATGAGAGAATGAGAGAGAGAATGAGAGAGAGAATGAGAGAGAGAATGAGAGAGAGAATGAGAGAGAATGAGAGATAGAATAGAGAGAGAATGGAAAGAGAGAGAGAGAATGAGAGAGAGAGAATGAGAGAGAGAGAATGAAGAGAGATGAGAAGATGAGAGAGAGAGAGAATGAGAGAGAGAGAAGAGAGAGAGAGAATGAGAGAGAGAGAGAGAATGAGAGAGAGAGAGAGAGAATGAGAGAGAGAGAGAGAGAATGAGAGAGAGAGAGAGAATGAGAGAGAGAGAGAGATGGAGAGAGAGAGAGAATGAGAGAGAGAGAGAGAATGAGAGAGAGAGAGAATGAGAGAAGAGAATGAGAGAGAGAGAGAGAGATGAGAGAGAGAGAGAGAATGAGAGAGAGGAGAGAGAGAATGAGAGAGAGAAGATGAGAGAGAAGAGAGAAGAGAGAGAATGAGAGAGAGAGAGAGAATGAGAGAGAGGATGAGAGAGAGAGAATGGAGAGAGAGAGAATGTGAGAGAGAGAGAGAATGTGAGAGAGAGAGAATGTGAGAGAGAGAGAATGGAGAGAGAGAGAATGTGGAGAGAGAGAATGTAGAGAGAGAGAGAATGTGAGAGAGAGAGAATGTGTGAGAGAGAGAATGTGTGAGAGAGAGAATGTGAGAGAGAATGAGAATGAGAGAGAATGAGAATGAGAGAGAATGAGAATGAGAGAGAATGAGAATGAGAGAGAGAGAATGAGAATGAATGAATATGAGTACATGAGAGAGGACACTCATGGAGTTATGTAAACAAACCAGGCATACGTGAGTTATGTAAACAAAGTGTACACGTCTGGTTTGTGTACAAGTTGTCTCTACGTCGATATGATAGAATAAATAAAGAGGAACACTCCCATTCTCATGTAACACCAGTTTTTAGAAGAAATGACGCTCTGAGTGAAGGCATACGAAAGGAATAATTTTCTGCACTTACCCCCAGTAACACATTTTCTCTTATGTTGGACTAGAGAAAACATTATTCTTGCCATCACTTGTACAAGTTGTCTGGCTCCCACATCTCATCCCCTCAAGGAAGGTTCCTTGATGTTGGTGAGGGGCTCTTGATTTAGGGAATTGGATCTGTGCTCCAGTTCCCCGAATTAAGCCTGAATGCCTTCCACATCCCCCCCCCCCAGGCGCTGTATAATCCTCCGGGTTTAGCGCTTCCCCCTTGATTATAATAATAATAATCCCACATCTCATATTTGTTTGTTTATTCTACTGTGGGGTGTATTTATCATCTTTTTATGTTATGTATTGTGTTTATTATATAATTTTGAAAATATATCATAGCTGGATTAATAAAAATGTGTATATTAAAGTAATATACGACATTTAATGAGACTTGGTGATTATCATTACTAACATGGCATCACTCGTATGAGTCTATAAGTTGTCTGGCTCCCACATCTCATATTTATGTTTATTTATTCTACTGTGGAGTGTATTTATCATCTTTATATGTTATGTATAATGTTTATTATATAATTTTGAAAAAATATACATGGATTAATGAAAATGTGTATATTAACGTAATATACGACATTTAATGAGACTATGATTATTATTGAGTATTATTATCATTACTAATATGGCATCTCGAGACATAAGAGACACTTACTGATTTTAATGTTTACCTGCATGCCAGCACAGTGTGTAAGTTTATTTAGGTACAGGTATACATAAGTATAATTATCAGAGTATATATAAAATATGAAATAACTTTTAAAAACACTTGAAGTTTTGGAGTTTCCAGACACAATGGAGAGACGTGGTGCTTACGGAGCTCATGGAGAATGTAAACAAACAGGGTGGGGTGCGGTGACCGTACTAGAAAGTCAGGTGGGGGGAGCCATATAGAGAGTTTAGGTCATAATTTGAAATGACCGTATTATCGGAACGCCGTAAAGCGAAATGCCGTAAAGCGGGGGCCTACTGTATATTTTCCCCTTCAACATAGTTTCCATGACTTAATACAAGTCTGGACGTGGACTGGGCCATGGGGGCGTTGACCCCTGAAACACCCTCCAGGTATACATGTATAAGTTGTGGGGGCCTTAATTCTCCCATGAAGCCTTCAATGGCTGGCTTGGCACATTTTTTTTTTTTCATTAATATTTCTGAGACAGAAGAGGATATTTTATCCATTACTTCCAATAGGTGAGTGAATATAAAAATCCTGCATGAAGAGCTGAAATCTGCTGGTTGCTGTAGATTTGTTAATTTACATGTGGTAGACAAAGATGCCATATATCACTTGTTTCTTTTATGCATAACTTTTCATGATTCTATTTCATGTCAGTCCCAGATCACACCATTTCATAATTTCATTGACCCCATGTTCAATAAATTACACAGCTGTTGTTGTCAGTTCATATTACTCTACTGTCACTTTTAATGTGCACTTGACAGTGCATTGGGAATTAAATATTTGGATAAGCTTAAAGACCTTGTTTGCCACTTTAAAAATAAATCAAAGGAGTTGAAATTTGAGAACCCTATTCTTCAGAAAATGGTACAGTTAGCCAGAGATTAATGAGACTATGTATATTTATAGCTGGAATTCTGGATAAAAAAAAAGTTTCCTTAAGAGGCTTGTTCAAGTATGTTTTTCACAACATATTTCATCTAAAAAAATCCATCCATGAGGAATGACTTCATATGTGATGTATTTCAAACATTTCAACTGCCTCCAGGTGTTACACATTTGAAGGGTCATTTGAAGTATTGCCCTGGAGAATATTATATCTTGTTTGATGTACAAAGATGAGGCACTTTTTGAACAGGTGTGGATGGAGTAAGATTTACATTCTCATGCAAGTGCAAAAGAAGGTAAGAAATAGAAGAGATAATTATGCAGATTGCATATGCAATAAGATCACAGTAAACAGGAGATATCACATGTAAAATAACCAGTAAAAACATACTGAAATTCCAAGCATTTTTTGTGATTTCTCACATTATTAAGGAATTATTCCTTGATAATGTGAAAAATCATGAAATCACTTTGAATTTTACTATTTTTTCATTGTGGTTTTGTTACATAAATTGTATATGTAAATTGTGATGTGCACTTCTGCCAAGGAAAGCTATCGAATGACTTGTAAATGTGTTTCCTGATTTGGTATTATATTGCTGATGTGAAGAAATTAAATAAATGCAGTAGGAAAGAGATAATGGAAAAACATTATTCATCAAAATAATTATTTAAGGTGAAGTGCAAAACATCTAAGGAATTTACAATGCCTGGAGAATGAGAAGCAATCAGGTTTGATCCAAAGACAAAGAGCTTCCATTTTATTTTTTTTTTTTTTATCAAGAATCCTTTTCCAACTTTAGATGATCCCCTGGCAGGATTTTTTCATCATAAGGGCAATGTCAAGATAAATTGCAACCCTTTAAATAGCTAATGTTTCTCCAATGCAGTGCCACTCTTCATCAAATGGCAGAGCACTCGAACAGTAGCTTAAGAGAAAAAAAAATGATTGAGAAAGAGAAAAGGAATCTTCCTTGATGGTAGTGCTTTTATGGATAATTGTATGGCCAAATATTGTTAACCACACAACAGTTTCATAATGATTTGATGTATTATAGAGCAAGTGTTCCTGTAGGTAAAACAAATTTTGTTTGAATCCTTCATATGGAAAGTAATCTGTTAAGCAATCTCTTTTTGTAATATTTCATTATGATACATTAAACTTGCAACAAAATAAGCTCCTGATGCTGGGGTATACTTTATACAGTACATTGTATATTATTGTTGTGTTCTGTATTTAGCAAGCAAAATTTAAAATCTAAAGTGCTGATTAAGTGTAGTTTACAGAGTGAAGTGCTCTATTGGGGGGTGAAGAAGGAATTTCTGGTAACCTCGGTGTATAGGACCTAGGAGAAAAGTAAGAGGAATGGGCAGACCAAAAATTGTTGGATTGTCTTAAAATAATTTTCTTAAACATTTTCAGTATTTAAGTTGTTTAAATTTATGTAATTATTAATTAATTTTTCTTCATATTTCGAGTTTTCAGCAGTTATATGAACCTCTAGTTTTAAATATAGTAAATGGCGTGCACCCAATCATGCTGAAGACCATGCATAAATTGATAAAAAATTATGTTAACATTCTTGCTATCCATATTCTTTTCTGCTTCATCACATTCTTGCTGTGTCATATACATAATATTTTGCATTTACTGATGCTGGACTATAGTATGGTACCTAGGTGTCACTGTGACAGTATGTTATACTCTGGCTTGTTCTGTTTTTCCATGCAAAATACCACAAAAAAACTTGCCAAATTTCTTAAGGCCTGCCATCATATGATTCACTGTTAAACATAGAGTGTGGCAAGTGAACAGGAGGCACTCTTGTATATACACAAATAACCAGAACATGGGAGAAAGAAATTTATGACAACATTTTGGCTAATTAATGGTCTAAGTTGGACCAAAACAACATCATAAGTTTCTCTCTCTGATGTGTGGGTTATTTGTGTATTGTTCCAGTCATGGTATTGTGCTCTTTTGTACTACTGTATATGATAGTATTGAGCCCAAAAAGTAGGATACACTGTATTTTAAGGTAAGTAAATTTTAAAACAGTTTTTTGTGCATAGTGTAAAGTTTATAGTGTAAACAAAATTCGATATGAAAATCGTGGCATCCATTACCATAAATGGGTCTCAGTCCCATTATATTTGGATTCTATATAAAAAATTGTACTGTACCTAGTTAAAGGCATGAGCATGGTGCATTTTGTTCACTGGTTGGAAAAGCATATTTGAAAGTACTTTTCAGCCTGGCTAGCCAAGTTGCATATTAATGAGTTTGCTTAAGTTCGAGTTGTATCTATGACTGATAATTGCATTTTGCCTCCATAGAAGCACTGGATGCCAGCATGCGGGAAAATGGAGATTTGATGTCTCGTTCAGCTGGCCAGTTTCCAAGTGGGAGACAAAATGGAGCAGGTCACCATGGTGTGAGTCATTATGGTACTCCACAAGGTACCCCTACATTGGGCACACCTGTGGGCACTCCTCCAGGTCTCAAGGTTGCATCAATCAAAGTCCGACCTTCCTCAAAACGCATGACTGCTGCGGAGGTGGAGGATATGTTGCATAACTCCGGTTCCCTTCCTTCCTCACCCCCAAGCACTCCTACTGGTCGTTCCCCACAGGTGTATGCCAGTGTGGCAGAGATGAAGAAGGCAAAGGTTTGTCCTAACAATTGCTTTCTGCAACATAAACTAAAACACTGTTTTCATGTTTTGCATAAACTTTTTCCTAGTTTTTTCTGCATAATTTGCCATGTAAGAAGCATGAATGCCAGAAAAAATGATTAAATATATATACAATCTCCCAGTAAAATATGTATGAATTACAAAATTTATCTGGGAGAGCATTGTTAAATGTCACTTGTTCATTGTTAAACTATAATTCATTTCTGCTTGAGTAAGTTGTCCCTACAAATTTGTGGAGGGTTATATTCCTAGAAACTGCAAATGCAAAAGTACAATATAAAATAAATTCAGATACAGGCTCATTTTGTTTCAGTGAGAATGTTACATCACTTTAATCTGGTTGATTAATACTGATACAGGTCCTCCATCACAAATCCGGCATCATTGGGACCTGTAGTGTGCCAGATTACTGAGTTTGCTGGATTACAGAGTGGTTAGGTTAGAATACACTTAATAAAATTAACCATCTTGACTTGCACAAAATTCATTGAACATCTGCAAAAGTTGAACATTTCCGCTACTTTGAGCTCAGTTTCAAGGTACTTCGTCATGAAAGCAATCAAAATCATGTCTATTTCTGTATTATATTTTCCATTCTATCAAATGAGACCAAAAAAACAAGAATACAACCATAAAAACCATGCGAAAATATACCGCAAAGAGGCAGCTAATGGCCGAGAAGTGAATTCCCTTATTTATCGTCCGTCTTTTTTATCTTTATTGTACGTTAACCCTTAAACTGTCCACTCAGATCTATGTTCACATGTGTAGTGCTCCAAAAGTAGATCTACATTTTTTAACATGTTTTCAAATGTAAAAAAAGAAAAAGAAGCTCTACGTTTTTTTTACATACTTTCAAATGTTGAAAAAACGTAGATCTATGTTTGGACAGTTTAAGGGTTAAGAAGCATCTTTCCATCATACATTGCCCAAGTTTCAATAAGACAGCCCAACAAACAACTGAGAGAAAAAAAACATTTACCAAAAATGATATATGGCAAGCCCAAGCCAGGTACTGGAAATAAGTCACTTTGACTTTTCTGGGTTATCCTAGGTTCTCTGTATATACACTGCTATGTATGATAATCTATGTAACTGTATTTGTGTATACCTGAATAAGCTTATTTATTTCTAGTCTGTCGACTGAGTACAAGAAACCGCCCATTCACTTACTTCAACTACCCAATATAGTGGTCAGAAATTGGCAATTTGGCCAATTTCACACAAATTTCAACAGATGCCAATTTCAAAATAGGGTCTAGAATAAACAATGCAGACATTACTGGCACTAAAATAAAATTTTCTTTGTTCATTAGTCACGGCTCCAGGTCCCTCATATATTACTCTGGCTTTCCATTTGGAATTTTTATTCACAAAAAATAGAAGATTTACTGTTATGCAGACTGCTGAATTATTGTAATAATTGTATAAATAATGTCAACCCATTCTTGACTCCGTATTGGAATTTGGACTGGTAGGCAGACAGGTATTGGACGGTGACGTCATTTATTTACTCTTGAGCTTCGCTACAGAATAAAACATTTTCGCTACTGTGAGCGCAATTTCAAGGTACTTTTCGTCATAAAAGCAATTAAAATCATATCTATTTCTGTAATGTATCTTTCATTCTATCAAATGAGACCGAAAAAACGAGAATATAACCATAACAACCATACAAAAATATACCGCTAGGCGGCCGCTAATGGCTGAGAAGTGAACTCCGCTATTTATAGTCTGATTTCTTTCATTTTTGGTGTACGTTAAGAAGCATCTTTCCATCATACATTGCCCAAGTTTCAATAAGATAACCCAACAAACAATTGAGAAAATAATATCTTTATTTACTGCACGTACATGTGGTGCGTTGAGGTATATGTGGAGTCAAAAAACATTATCTATGGAGGCAAAGAAGGGAATGTATGAAAGTATAGTAGTACCAACACTCTTATATGGGTGTGAAGCTTGGGTGGTAAATGCAGCAGCAGCGAGGAGACGGTTGGAGGCAGTGGAGATGTCCTGTTTAAGGGCAATGTGTGGTGTAAATATTATGCAGAAAATTCGGAGTGTGGAAATTAGGAAAAGGTGTGGAGTTAATAAAAGTATTAGTCAGAGGGCAGAAGAGGGGTTGTTGAGGTGGTTTGGTCATTTAGAGAGAATGGATCAAAGTAGAATGACATGGAAAGCATATAAATCTATAGGGGAAGGAAGGCGGGGTAGGGGTCGTCCTCGAAAGGGTTGGAGAGAGGGGGTAAAGGAGGTTTTGTGGTCAAGGGGCTTGGACTTCCAGCAAGCGTGCATGAGCGTGTTAGATAGGAGTGAATGGAGACGAATGGTACTTGGGACCTGACGATCTGTTGGAGTGTGAGCAGGGTAATATTTAGTGAAGGGATTCAGGGAAACCGGTTATTTTCATATAGTCGGACTTGAGTCCTGGAAATGGGAAGTACAATGCCTGCACTTTAACCCTTTCAGGGTCCAAGGCCAAAATCTGAAGTCACGCACCAGTGTCCAAGAATTTTCAAAAAAAAAAAATGTTATTTTTTCTTATGAAATCGTAGAGAATCTTTTTGTGAAGGTAATAAAACAAAAAGTACGAAATTTGGTGGAAAATTGACGAAATTATGCTCTCGCGAATTTTGATGTGTCAGTGATATTTACGAATCGGCGATTTTGCCGACTTTGACTCCCATTTTAGGCCAATTACATTATTCCAATCAACCAAATTCTTAGCTATTTCACTAGTATTACTTCTATTCTATCGATTGAGCACAAGAAATCGCCAAGTCAACTGTTTCAACTACAAAATAAAGTGATCGGAAATTGTTAGTTTGGCCAATTTAACACAAAGTTCAAAATATTCCAATTTCAAAACAGGCTCCAGAATAAACAATGTAGGTATTCCTGGAACTAAACTAACATTTCCTCTGTTCATTAGTTACATTTTGAGGCTTTACAAATAAATTCCATTTTGATTTTTTATTCACATAATGAATTTTTATTCACACCAAAAAATAGAAGATTTACTGTTATGCAATACTGTAATAATTGTATAAATATCATCACCATATTTGTGAATGTATATTAGACCCACCAGCTGACGTGTATTAGATGTGTGAGGTCGTTTGTTCACTCTTGAATATCGGCAAAAATTTAACATTTCCGCTACTTTGAGCTCGGTTTCAAGCCATTTCCAGTGCTAAAACCAATCAAAATCATCTCTATTTCTGTAATATGTCTTCCATTCTATCAAATGAGACCAAGAAATCGCAAATACAACTATAAAAAACATACGAAAAAACACTGCAAAGTCGCTGTTTTAATCGAAAAATCATGATTTCAGTTTTTTTTCTCTCATTATACACAGTGTGCTGCAGGATCTGTTTTATGTGGTGCACACATACCACATAGATGTATTCTCTCATATCTAGGCCCAAATGTACCACTCACAGTTTATCAGAGTGAGCTGAGCTCATGGCATAGATCTACGGTTTGGACACTCACCGTAAAGCCGTAGATCTACGGGACGGACCCTGAAAGGGTTAAAGGACGGGTTTGGGATATTGGCAGTTTGGAGGGATATGTTGTGTATATTTATACGTATATGCTTCTAAACTGTTGTATTCTGAGCACCTCTGCAAAAACAGTGATAATGTGCGAGTGTGGTGAAAGTGTTGAATGATGATGGTGTTTTCTTTTTGGGGATTTTCTTTCTTTTTTGGGTCGCCCTGCCTCCGTGGGAGACGGCCGACTTGTTGAAAAAAACAAAACAAAAAAAACATGTACAATGTATACAGGCCTAGCTGACATCAGTGACATACTACTATATAGAAAGCCACTTGCTATGCAGAGTATTTCAAGCAAATTAGGTCAGTGTCCCAGGATAACACCCACACCAGTCGGCTAACACCCAGGTACCCATTTACTGGTGGGTGAACATAGACAAAAAGTGTAAAGAAACATGCCCAATGTTTCTATCCTGGCTGGGAATCGAATATTTACCAAAAATCATGTATGGCTAACCCAAGCCAGGTACTAGAAATAAATCACGTTGTCTGACTTTTTTGGGTTATGCTAGGTTCTCTACACATATGCTGCTGTGTGTGATAATCTACGTATATAGAGAAAATAACTTTTTAGTTTCAGGTTTATGGTGCAGTACAAGTGTATATCACAGTTAGCCCTGTGCTATACTCTGTTTTCTCTAATATAAGCCACCAAGACAGGGATAGGAGAATGGTATTTGTATACCATATCCTCTTCATACCTCCATCGAACTGCTCGGTATTATGCCAAATATTATTCATTCTGGAGTATTTAACATGTTTTATGTTATTTATATTGTTTATTATGTCATATTAGATCAATTGTGATAGGCAATAAGCTGTAGTGTTGATATTAGCGTAATAATAAAGCATATTCTGCATCACGAGACTGAGCTCATGGCAACCAAGTGGCTTCAAAACCACCTTATCTTTAATGGACAATGTACTGTGTAGGTGCTTTACACAACGAGAAGCATTTCTTTTATTCATTGGAACTATGGCTAGGGCTAAAAGTAAGCAGGTTATAACAAATAGAGAAAAAGAAATTAGAATGACTTGTGCAGCAAGTAGCACCACCAAACAGTACCAGCAGGTTGGTGTGGCGATCCTGGAAATTTGAAATTATGCTAGCCAAAATTAGTGCCGAATAATTGAAGGAACCGAATAACTGATTGCCGGATTTGTGATGGCGGACCTGTATTCATAATGACCAGAATAAAATGATTGAGCATGGGAAAGCTACTGAGCCAGAAATTTTTTTTTAATCCATTTGCTGGTTGCTTTTCAGTGAAAATATTGGAATATGGATATCGGTGAATTTGTAGAAATGACTGTATGGTTAAAAAAATTTATTCTGAAGCTAAATTTTTATTGAAATCAGACATAATGGGTTGAAATTGATTATATATCTTAATGATCATGGTTCATTAATTTGTATTGTATATTGTTTTGTACATAAAATTAAGTTTAAATCTGATTATTTTGCTAAAAATACCGTATTTTTTCAGTAGAATCTTTTAATACAAATATCTTTCTAAAGTATTTAATTTTTTATTATGCTCTCAGAATTCAGTTAAATATTTCTTGTATTCACAGTGTTGTAACCCATATAAGTTTAGCACTTTTTGTTAGTATCAGTGGAATGAGTGATGGTGAATATTTCCATCTTTGAGTTTCTCTGACTTAGTTGGCAATGACCATTGTGATTTAATATTTGTTTTTTAACATACTTAAAACAGCATGGTACTGCATATTTACACAATTTTGAAACTAAAAATATGAGAGATAATGTATACTTTTAGGATGTAAGCCAGGAAAAGCATGAGCAATAATTTTCTTCTAAAAGGTTTTGAGACAGTAAAGTAGAGAAGGGATTGAAGGCAGAAACTTATGAAATGTGTTAAGCCAGAATTAATAACTCGACAAATTTTTTTTACATCATTGGAAAAGTATTTTTTACTCTGTATTTGTTCCAATCTTTCATTTTTTTCCTCTAGGCCCTGAAGGCTCGGCAGTCAATAGACCTCAGCAGACTACACAAAGATTTCCACTCGACTCCAGACCTAAAGGCCGGGGTCACGGCATCCCAGCTGGCCCTCACCATCGAGGAGAAGCGCAAATCTATTTCACAGGAAGATCTGTTTGTCACGGCATTAAACGAACGCAATTCACGACACTCCCTTGCGTGTCCGCCACTCCGCTCGAGCACATTGGGGAGGACCACGGTGGGGTCTCTAGAGTCTAGAGAATCATGGCATAGTGGTGAAGATGGGACAGAGGAAGAAAGCAGTGATTCTCCAAACTGTTCTCCTGGACCCATTGAATATCGAATGTTAAGACGATCACAGTCAGCAGTTAATACAACTATGCTTCGCAAAGCTGGACTTCATCCCCCACCAACTCATCCCCCTCCACCACCACCTCTTGGGCAGCTTGTCAAAGTTGATATTAGTAGATCCAAAAGTGATTATGCTACAGTTGGCCAGGCACCGTCAACTCCTGAGTCTATGCCTGCATCCCCAGTAATACAGTCTAGTTTTCGACCTACAGACTGTGCCAAATTATATGCATCACCTGAGGAAATCAAAGCTGTTGGTTATCGTAGTCCTGATATGATGGCTGCTTTAAATCGTAAAAATAATGGTGTTAAGACACGTTCTCAAAGTTTACCACCAAGTACCAGTAGGCCTAGTGTTCAAAGGGGCTCTCCAGAAAAAGATTCCTCCCTTGATTCTGGGATTTATTCAACTACTTACTCAACCTTTCGGGGTACAGAGAATGAAGGTACTAGAACTCAAGAAGCTCCATCATCCGTTAGTTCCCAGACAGCCCCAGTTAGTGATGCAGTTACATATGCAAGGCCAAAAAATAATAAAAGTGTACATGATCTTAACGATACATCTTCTGCAAATAAGGCATATACTGGACCAGGGTCTGTTGCCTCTCCTGTTCCTGACATTCCTGAACCTGACTATAGCTCAGATGAAGATCACACCTACAATTCTCAGGATGACTCACAAAGTAAGAAGACTAGAACATTAAAGAAGAAAAAGCAATCTGTTGCTTTTTCACAAAACTTAGTAACAACTGCAGAGTCATCAGATATACCTCCCTATGAAGCATCTGACATACCTCATTATGCTGCTCCAGCCAAGAACCCAACACCCCTAAGTAGCAACTTTAAGGAAATGATTGCCCAGAAAGTAGCAGAAAGACAAGCAAGGCAAGATGATGGAACTGAGGGTACAAGGTCTGCTACGTCTAGCCCCAATAAGAAAGTTAATGGTAGTAATGGAAATGGCATCTCTGATGTAATTCAAGACTCCACATCATTTAATAAACAGAAGGAAAAGACTGTTCCAACTGGAACTAAAGTGAGACCTGTTCCATCTGTGCAAAGGGACGATTCTAAATCTAAGATGAAAAACTCTCATTCCTGTCCCAGCGAGTTCTTAGAGGATGGTGATAATTCATCAAGTGGGGTTAGCTCAGATCAAGACGTTCATCCAGAGTCCAATTATGTAACTGTTATAAACACAGAGTCTGACACCATCTCTGCAAATAATTCAGAGAGATTTGGTAGTCATGGTTCACGAGATGACAGTTCTGAGGCTTCTGAAAGTTCTGATGAAGCTAGTGACCGCACATGGATTTTAACCAATGAAAAGGGGGATAGAAGTGACTCTGGTAAGGACAGTGACAGCAATGGATCTCGAAGAACAGGTACTCTGACAAGAAATGCAGTGTCACTGGTGAAGTTACCTCCTCCACAAGAGACAACTGAACCTGATATAGAAACAGAATTAACTGTTATAGATACAGAACTGGAAGTGGGACAAGAGTGCATTATGTCCCGATCAGTTGATCAAGATACTATTAGCACATTGTCTTCCTTGAGTAGTTTGTCTTCAGGTTCTGGCAGTACAGGGGAGCGAGACAGACAGCAACTCCTGCACAATGTTCCAGTATCCATGTCTGCTCAAATGAGATCCACTCTTCCAAGACTTTCATCGAGTACTTCAGGCTCCAGAGCCAGCTGCACTCCTCCAGTTAGTCAAGCCATTAAAGCGACAGTTGGAGGATCACTGAATCGTAGCAGGTCAGCCTCAAGGGACCAACATTGGGGTACTGATGGAGACCTACATCCCTTTAGGGAGAAGAGTGCACCTCCCACATCTCGTTCAAGTACTTCAGACAGGAGCATCTACAAGAAAAGCACAAATGTTGACACAGGTGAAGCAGAATATGAAAGGAGTATTGAAGAATCCCTCCAGTTAATACGAATGCATATGGATTCCTTAAATGAAGTAAACTCCTTGGCGGGAGTGTCGTTGCCGGAACAAGCTGGGGCAGGTGGTGAGATGGTTCTGGCACCACCACCAGAATTCTGTGACATGTCTTTAGGTGAACCACAGAACAGGAAAAATAAGACTGTTATTCATATTTCTAGTGATGATTATGATCTCCCAGGAAATGCCATAGGAAGTAGGCATAGGGATGAAGATGAAATGCCAGGATTCAGACGTAAAACACTAACTGAATGGACCACACGTGACACAACAGAGTGGCTTGAAAGTATCTTTATGCCTGAGTACAAAGATTCTTTTGAGGAACAAGATATAGATGGTAGAAAATTGATGGGTATAAACAATGATACACTTATTAATTTAGGAGTGAGAAGAGTTGGTCATAGAGTTAACATGGAAAAATCGCTAAAACGATATAAACCTACTGAAAGAATTGATCTTTGAGTTCAGAAAATCATGTGGTTACTTATTATAAATGTATTCAGCACATTCAGAAACAAAATGAGATTATGTATTTGTGATGTATTATACTCTTGGCATCATATGCTTATTGGGATCAGTAATTTTTCCACAAAAAATCAGAAATAATTTTATGACTGGTTGGTGGTTATACATCGATAAAACCCTCAGGTTTACCAAAAATATTTTTCCTGGAGATGACCTCTTGTCCATTTTTTATTCACAAGTTTTCATGATCATTTTTCATGAGTCCTTCATTCTTCATTCAGACTAGTTTTGAGTGTTCAGAAGACATAGCTGTAACCTTTTTCACTTATAACGTCCAACTTGTAAACATTATCGCAGGAATAGACAATAACCAAATAGAAATCTTATTCCTTATTTTAAGACAGTGATTTTGAATTTTCTCAAAATCCATTATGTATTTATATTCATTGATAGTTTAAAGCCAGAGGTTGTCCTTTTAATGGCTTTTTAGAACTATTTATGAATTCATTAATGTAAAAAACTATGGGATTGATGAAATTGAGTTAAATCTGGCAGACACGTTTGTATAAAAATTGGTGCTTTAACCAATGGGTATACAAATGTATGAAGACAATAAGTAATAGACCTACATATTGCATACAACTTTTGACTGAAAATCACCCTCCATGACACAGCAAAAGGCTATAATAATACTCTGTTGCATTCTTCCAGCTTATCAGATAAGATCATACAGCCGGGTGGAAGTGTTCATCATGAAGGGTTTTCCAGTTTCATTCACTTGGTCACAAAATATTCTAGCTAGGTGGTCGTAACTATTCATGTGTTCGTGTGTCACCACTGCACATGTTTATTATATTTTACCCCTAGTAAAATAAATTAATTGAATTTATATACTTATATAAATATATATATATTATATATATATATATATATATATATATATATATATATATATATAATATATATATATTAATATATATATGCAATAAGATCACAGTAAACAGGTGATTTCAGAATATGCAAAACAACAACCACTCTGAAAGAATAAAGAAATTCGAAGCACTTTCATGACTACTCACATTATCAAGGAACTATGTATTCCTTGATAATGGAGTAGTCACGAAAGCGCTTGGAATTTCTCTATTCTTTCAGAGTGGTTGTTTTGCATATGTGTGATATTTTATATTTATATATAATATATATATATATATATAAAATTATTATATATATATATAATTATATATATATATATATATATATATATATATAATTTATATTTATAAAATTATAATATATTATATAATAAAATATTTATAAAATTAAAATATATATAAATGTAAAATTTTATATAATGTATAGATATATTGAAATTATATTATAAATATAATTATATAATATATAATTTTATATTATATAATATTAATAATATATGTATATTATTATAATATATTTATATATTATTTTATATATATTTATAATATAAAAATATTTTATATATATATATATATATAATAAAAATATTTTTATATATTAATTTTTAATTATATATAATATAATATATTATATATTATATAATATATATTATATTATATAAAATTTATATATAATATATATGGTATATTATATATATGTATATATATATAATATGTATATATATATATATGTATATAATATATATGTAATATTATATATATGTAAATATATAATATATGTATAAAAAAAATATATTGTATATCTACTAAATATGTATATATATATATATGTATATATAGTTTAAATAGTAATATAATATATATATATATACATCTAATGTGATATATATTATATATATATATATATATAATATATATGTATATTATATATATATATTATATAATAATATATAAGATATATATGTATATATATTATATATATGTATATATGATTTATAAATATATATGTATAAATTATCTAAATGTATATAAATATATATATGTATATAATATATAAATAGTATATATATATAAATATCATGTATATATATATATATAGTAAATATATAATATATGTATATATTATAATATATGTATAAAAATATGTATACATGTAATATATATATATGTTTAAGTATATATATATATATATGTTATGACACACATCAGGAAATTGTCTAGACACAGAACACACAAACTTTCACAGTCTATCTTACACCATTGACAAACAAAAATACACAAGACACACATAGGTACACACACAGTCAAACACACTCATGACCCACACAACACACCACATCACGACACACAGACAACTACACACACAGACACACACATACACACATAGAGACCACACTCAGTCGACACAATATACACACACAGACACACAGAGAACACACACTGTACACCACATATACGACACCAAGAACACAATGATACACACACTAAACACACAGCTACACACCCTTATACACAAAAGAACACACACATACCACACAGATACTCACACATAACGCACAGTAATACACACACAGACCTACACAGATAAACACACATACAACTCAGCTACACACCATATACACAACAGCATAGACACCGCACATGACACACAGGAGATATACACACACATACAAACATATACACACACACAGACACACACTTACACCAACAGAGTCACACACATACAACACATAGACACACACAACAAACATATACACACATATACACAGCACCAACCAACATAACACACAACCACGACACATACACAGCATAGACACACCAGACTCACACATGACCACACAATACACACACATATACACGACACATAACAACACTGAGATACACACACTTAACTCCCATTACACGCACACACTAGACCATACAACAACATATACACGACACTTACAACACAGAGAGACACACACAACACAACCTAGACACACACAGTTACTCCACAATACACACACATACACACCCTATACACACACATATAAACACATATACACACACTATACCACATACACATGACTCACTAAGTACACACACAGTACACTATCCACAGTACACTCATATACTCACCAAAAAAGATCACACACATACATACTCAACCACATATAACACACCATATACACACATAGACAAAATTAACAGATACCACACTACAGTATCCACACCTCTACCACACAGACTACTCAAACATATCGAAAATAGACACACATATTCACTCATAGACACACATATACACACATAAACGACACATATACAAATATGCACTCAGCATGATGCACACAGGATACCTCATAGACACACTACAAGACACATCATATACACACACCATAACACAACCAGATACACACATGAGAACCCCCGCTAGCATTACACACACAGTACACCAGATACAGACTGAACCCCACAAAATACACACAAGACAACTACACAGACCCACGACAGACACGACACATAGACACACGACAGTAGACATCACACCATAAGCCCACACAGAAGACACACACATGACCACACACATAGACACACACATATACACACTCATATACACAGACATATTCACACACATAGACACACAATTATACCAACCACATAGACACATCCATAACACACACATAACACTCCGATAGACACACATCATAATACCCACACATAGACACCACATATACACACACACCACACACATATTACACACACACAGACACACAGAAAACGACACACAAGACCACACACTTAACACACACAGAGTACACACACATATAACACACAGATACACACACATATAAAACATATACTACACCAACACGCACATATTACCACACAAAGACACACACAATTAGACACACATATCAAACACATATACAACTACTGTTACACACATTATACACACAATGACACACACAACACGAATATACACACACATGTACACACACACAGACACACACACAGACGACACACAATACACACATACACACTTAGACACACACAGACACACATAGGAACACAACATACACCCACGACAGTAAACCACACACTGTAGACACCTACACATTTACACAACATAGACATCTCACACATACACACACAACGACACACATGATACCACCAGTATACACAGCCACACACATATACACACACCACAATACTCCAAACATTTACTACCCAATACTCACACATATACACATAACACCCATTAACACTCACAGACCACTCACATATACACACAATACAGCACACATATACACACATATACACACATAGACACACAAGTACACACACAGTGACACTAGACACTTACACACAGACACACACCGACCCCCTGTGCAAGACCTAAACAGCACCCCCCCCCAGAGCACGCACCTCTCCGAACCTCCGCAGCATTACGCTGAACAACACCCCACACCATCACCAACACCAATATCCATCTACAAGACTCCGTCCCACACGCGCTTACACACTCCACAACTTTCCCGAAAGTGAAGTATGCGTCGCGCTCCCGCCACACCCCACACCCCCCAAGTAAAATACTATCAATTATACCCTTATGAGTATACATAATATCTCCACCATATATCTACACGTTATATATGACCCACTATAAAAATAAAACTATAAATATATATCATCTACAAAAATATAAATTCACCTTACATCATAAAAACACTCTCACTAACCTCAAATACATCCACCTAAATACAGTGGTACCCGAGTTTCAGCCATAATTATATGTTCCAAAGGTCTGTTCGAGTGCCATTACCGAACGAATTTGTTTCCCACAATGATAATGTAAATTAGATTAGTGTGATTCAGAACCCCCAAAAAAACACTTACAAAAACACTTACACTAAATACAACTTACATCATTAGTTCGAGCTGGAGCTGTATGTAAAACTCGGGTACCACTGTGAATGTATGGTATGTATTATATAATATATATAAAATAAAAATAATATATAATAAATTATATATATATATATAAATATATAATTAATATATAAATATAATATATATATAGAAAATATATCTATATATATAAATAAACATGTTGTTTAATAACTAACTCTGAGATCAAGAAAAGGGAACCTTTAGTATTCTGGATTATCCAATAAACATTATAAAAGTTTTTGTACAAAGAAGCTGTTGATAGTGTAAATAATGCAATCGTATCATAAATTTCATTTGACACAATACAGTAATGCATAAATTGTATAAAATGTTCCTTTTATTTATTTTATTTTTTATTTTTTTTTAATATTTTTTTGCTAATAAATATTGTCTAATCTGTTTATGCCAACCCATTTTGTGTGCCAAATGCTTCACTGCTGGAAATCAAGAATTGGATGCCAGATGTTTATGGGGAAACTCAGTTGCTTAGAAATTTATCACCTAGTAAGAGCATGATCATAACGCGCCAGAAGTGTA